GGGGGAGTGAGAGACGCACACATATACACACACAATCACAGAGTGAGAGAGGGTGAGCGAGAGAGACACATAAGCGCTTACATAGATATACACACATGCGCGTGCATGCACACACAGGGGTATTAGGATGTGGAACACCCACTCACTGGTGGAAGCAAGTTCAGTAATAACTTTTCAGAGGGAGCTGGAGAAATATTTGAAGAGAAAGGATGACCCCTCCAACAATGCCAGGAATCAGAGAGAAACCAACTCTGACTGAGGTGTGTTCTTGTGCTGTGTGTGAGACCTGGCCCCAGTAAGCCTCTCACATACAGAGAATAATAATAATTATACTGTAAACAGCCATGGATTGAGTGACCAAATTATTATTTAAAAAAAAGTTTTTTAAGGGATTATTACTCCTGGAAAAGCGATCTACCAATCGACTAACAACCGGGTTCCTATTAACTACTAGGTAAATAGAGGCATGTGGAGCAAGGAAACTTGCCTAATGTTTCGCTCGGCCTGGGAATCGAACCCAGGTCCTCTCGCTTGTGAGGCATGTGCACTAAGCTATAGGACTCCAGAAATCTGAGGAGGCAGCTGGAGCTCTATTACTGAAGTGCTGGGAAGTTAGCTGTATTAGCAGGCAAACGCTGGTGTTGCAGGTCGTTTACATTGAAATTTAGAAAATTATTCACTGGCTGAGCTCTAATCTTCTATGTGCCAACTCCTGCTTACTGACAGGAACCAAAACCCTGCCCAAGAAAGAGAGACAAAGAGCATGAGAGAGAGGGAGAGACTGAGAGAGTCTGAGAGATAAGCAGAAATACCTAGAGCAAAGGGAAGAGAGAAAGAGACTGAGAGAGAGCGAAAGAAAAACTTAAGAGTGGTGGAGGCGGGGGAGACCAAGAGCATCAAAGAGAAAGAAACTGAGAGATAGGGAGATCGAGAGCAAGGAAAGAGAAAGAGAGACACCGAGAGAGAGAGGTAGAGACTAATAGACAGACAATTCCTCCTACACTGTCCGTCCAGCATGGGTTAGAGACAGAGTAAAGCTCCTTCTACGTCCAGACTCCCAGGTCAGTGACAGCAATGTCCCACACACAACCATGAAGGAATAACCAATTTCACATCAAACAGCCCGGGCACATTATGTTCCTCAGAGCTGATTCCTGGAATCCCGGGTGCTGGTCGCTGAGTCACATCTTTCCTGCTCACACCCAGTGAGACAGACTCATTATCAGCTGCCAGCCTATTCTGGCTATAGAGACCTCTAATCATGAGAGTGTAGCTGAACGCTGGGGGCCAGTAAGTCTGAATATTTACCCAGTAAGTAGAGAATCCCGGACCAATAAAACGTCACCTGAGGGAACTCCCACTCTCCCTAACCCCCCCCCAGCCACCCCATTGGGGGCACTTCATTGTCAGGCTCTCACGCAAAACCCACTGTGTTCAGGGCTCATGTGTGACAGACACACAGAGGAATGGAGAGGTTGTCACTGACCTGGGAGTGTGGATGGACAGTGTAGAGGGAGCTTTACTGTCTCTAACCCGTGCTGTCACTGACTTTGAGCCTTTGAAGGGTATTTTGTCAAAAAACTGCAGATGGTATTTTTGATGAGGGGAAACAGCAACTGATGCACAAGAATAATAATAATAATAATCCTTGCATTTGATATAGTGCCTTATCAAGTCATTGAGACATCTCAAAGCGCTTCACAGAATATACTGTAGAATGAATTGACTGTATATTTTATGGGCGAAAAGCAGCAGCCAACTGCACAGTGTCCTATAAACAGTCATGGATTGAGTGACCAAATTAATTATTTTTTGGAAGGGATTATTACCCCGGAAATGAGGTCCGTCAATCGACTAACAATCAGATTCCTACTTACTGCTAGGTAAACAGTGGGTTGTGGGTGAGAGGCCTGGGGTTGAGGTTTAGGGTGCATGTTCCTGTATAATATAAACCTGACATTGACTGTAGACCAAATGGCATCCTTCAGAGCTTTAAAGAGTGTGCTATATATTATCTCAGAGATCAGGTGGACTGTGCTTGCTCTTTCTGCTGCTCTACATCCTGAGGGCCTGGGGGGAGAAGAGGTCACTTTGCTTAGTTAATCTCTTAGATCACAGTGGTCCAACTGGCGGCCCACAAGCCGTATCTGGCCCCCCTTCCCTCCATTTCATCTGGCCCACCCCCGCCCTCCATAATCTGTAAATGTTATGTTATGTTTCTGGAAGGGAAACGCAAAAAAAACCTTATGTGGCCCGCAGACATTTCTCAAATAGGGCAACTGGCCCTCAGCAGCCAAAAGGTTGGATACTCCTGTCTTAGACTAATAAAGGTCAAATGATTTCTTATAGGCCTGTCTGCAAAGGCTACAAGGCCCCATTTCTCCCACTTTCATGAAGATTTGTCTTCGAGAAGTTTCTTTAATACAATAATAAAATGTCAGTGACTTGGAGTTTGAGGCTTTCCACCCAAGCAAACTGCAGTAGCTGAGCAGGGATGGAGTCTGTCTGAAAATAATGTTAAGAATGATGAGGGGAACTGACAGCTTAGAGAGTGGAGACTCTTCCCTCTGGTGGAGAATCACTAACAAGGGGCCGGAGTGTGGAACTCAGAGCCAGACCAGTGACAGTGAAATCACAAAACATCTCTTCACACAGAGGGGCTGAGAGTGGGCAACACTCACCCCAGGAGCCGTGAAGGCAGAATGGATCAGGAGGTTTCAAGATGGCGAGAGCGTGAATTAGTGAGTCAATTTATCCCTTTTACTTTGCACCTACACACAAAGGAGCATTCTCACACATACTTTCTCTCACACACACTCTCCCACATACACTCTTCCACACACACACATACATACACAGGAGTAGGCACCATTCACACACACACAGGAATGGGGATTCACACACACACAGGAATGGGCACTGATACACACACACCAAGGAGCGGGTATTCACACACACACACACACAGGAGTGGGCACTCAGACACACAAACAGGAGCGGGCGCATACACACAAACAGGAGCGGGCGCATACACACAAACAGGAGCGGGCGCATACACACAAACAGGAGCGGGCGCATACACACACACATGATCTGGCACTGACACAAACAAACACACACACGCAGATACATACACATACACAGGGCACTCAGACACATACACAGGAGCGGGCACTGACATACACAGGAAAGGGCACTACATTCACACACAGGAGCTGGCACTGACACACACACACACACACACACAGGAGCGGGCACTCAGACACACACACAGGAGTGGGCACATACACACCCACACACAGGATCTGGCACTGAAACACACACACACAGAGGAATAGGCACTCACACACACAGGAATGGGCACTCACACACACACAGGAGCAGGCACTCACGCACACACAAGAGCTGGCACTGACACGCACACACACACAAGAGCTGGCACTGACACACACATACACACACACAGGAGTGGGACTCAGACACATACACAGGAGCAGTCACTGACACACACACACACACACACAGACGAGCTGGCACTGACATACACACACACACACACACACACACAGACAGGAGTGAGCACTCAGACACATACACAGGAGTGGCACTGACACACATGCACTGACACACACACACACAGGAGCGGGCACTGACACACACACACACAGGAGCGGGCACTCACACACACACAGGAGCGGGCACTGACATACACACACAGAGGAGTGGGCACTCAGACACACACACACAGGAGCTGGCACTGACACGCACACGCACAGGAGTGGGCACTCAGACACACACACAGGAGCGGCACTGACACACCTGCACTGACACACACACACACATACACACAGGACCTGGAACTGACACACATCATTCTGGTTTATGCCGTGAGCTTCAGTGGGTTAAAACAACTGAAAAAAACGCTTGGCATTTATATTTCATTTGTGGCTACAGCAAGGTGTGGGTGGGCGAGGAGCTGTGTAAGTGCGCTGATGTCCTGTGTGTACTGGAGCTGGCATGGTATACGGTGCAGTGGCAGGTTTGCTAATGCACAGTGGCAGTTACAGGGGCTGTGATTCCCAGCCACAACCACTCAGCTCACTGACCGCACTTTGACCCCCGCTCTGCAGTGAGACTGCGCATGGTGCCCAGCCCCGGGGAGGGAGACAAGAATGACAAAAGGGGGACAAACGGGGGGCACGACAGCTCCACTACCATCCCCACATCTTCCTGTCCCTCCTAAAGGCCAACCTCATTGGCTGAGAAGTGCTACGTGCTCCTTACTAGGCTGACACTCCAGCACAGTGCCGGGGGGAGACTGCACTGTCAGAGATGCCATCCTTTGGATGAGACGTTCAACTGAAATCCCATCTGTCAGGTGGATGGTAAAGATTCTACAAAGATGTACAATGGAAACTGGCCGCTCGGCCCAACTGGTCCGTGCTGGTGTTTATACTCCACATGAGTCTTCACCCACTCCTCACTCCTCCCTCAGGTGAAGGTCCAGCTTCCTCTTGAATAAACCACAGTCAAAACGGAAGGTCTTTAGGCGGGGTTTGAAAGTTGGGAGGGAAGGACAAGGCAGAGGGATTGAAGGAGAGAGTTCCCGAGTTTCTGGGCGTACATCACTGATCGTGGAATGGAGGGTACGAGGGATATTGGGGGTGTTAAGTCAGGGCTGTGATATGGAGGGTGTTATATCAGGGCTGTGATATCGGGGACAGTGTTATATTGTAGCAGTGGTATGGAGGTGTTATATCAGGGCTGTGATATCGGGGACAGTGTTATATCGTAGCGGTGGTATGGAGGTGTTATATCAGGGCTGTGATATCGGGGACAGTGTTATATCGTAGTGGTGGTATGGAGGTGTTATATCGAGGCTGTGATATGGAGGAGGGTGTTATATCGAGGCTGTGATATGGGAGTGTTAAATCAGAGCTGTGATATGTGGGGGTGTTATATCGGGGCTGTAGTTTACTGGGTGGCCTGGGCGGGCGGTGGCGCTGTCGATGGAGCCGGAGGTGCTACCAGTCGTTGTGGGGCGGAGCGGCCTGTGTGGACCTGTGTGAGCCGGGCCTGGGCGCGATTGGGAGCTGTTGCCGGGCGGGATGGGGTTCCTGACCGCCCTGAGCTGGCTCTCGCTGCTGCTGCAGATCGCTTTCGTCACTCTGGCTATCGGTGAGTGGCGGCGGCCGGGCCTGGCGACGGGGACAGGCCGGAGACCACCGTTGTCATGGTTTCCAGGCCGGGAATTTACCTGTGGCTTTGGTGGGGCTGGGGGGTGGGAGAGGGGTAACCAATCAAAGGGCCCCTTACATCAAATGCGGAGAGGGGTAACCAATCAGGGGGGCGTTTACATCAACTGGGGCGAGGGGGTAACCAACTGCGGGGTGGGGGTCCCCGCAGCTCACGTGCTCAGCCCTCACTCCCCCAACTGAGGACCTTGAGCTCACAGTCCGGGGGAGAGCGCTGCGTTACAGATCAGCCACGACCTTATCGAATGGCGGGGCAGGCGAGAGGGGCCGAATGGCCCACTGCTGCTCCCAATTCTTATCTTATGTTCCGATGTTGTCGGAGGGGCCGTCCTTTGGATGAGACGTTAAACCGAGCCCCTGCCTGTGCCTGTTCAGGTGGATGTTAAGGATCCCCGCAGCGCTGTTGGAAAACAGAATGAAGTTTCCGAATCTATGGAACCCCCGGCCTCAATCCCTCCGTCTTGCCCTCTCTTTGCCCGTCTCCACATCGCACATGAAGGCTTTCCTCTTTGACCGTACCTTCGGTCATCTCTCCTATTCAGCTCAGGTCAAGTCCTGTCGCTGTTAAGTGCTCTGAGACAATAATAATAATAATAATAATCCTTGCATTTGATATAGCGCTTTTCACGTCGGGAGGACGTCCCAAAGCGCTTCACAGAACACACTGTAAAGTGAATTGACTGTATATTTGTGGGCGAACGCGGCAGCCAATTGCGCACAGCAATGTCCCACAAACAGTCGTAGATTGAAAATGACCAATTTATTATTGTTTTTGGTTTTGGAGGGATTATTATTAGGCTCTGTGTGGAGTAAGGAAACTTGCCCAAGGTTTCGCCCTCTGCCTGGAATTGAACTCAGGTCTCTCGCTTGCAAAGCGAGTGCTCTAACCATTGAGCTACAGTACTCCTGTAGTTATGCGTATGAAGGACACTTGTATAGTATAAGTGCAAGTTGTTATACTTGTGCACCTTATAGGAGATGCATTGGGAGGGTGTAGAGGTTGCATTAATCAGGGAGTGGTGATAGAGAAACTATATATATATATCAGACAAGGCACTGCCCACCAATCAGAGCTGTGGAAATGACATTCTTTCCAATATAGTCCAGCAATACAGTCAAGCGACAAAGAGTGGACTTTCAGCCTAGAGTTTCTGTCATGGAAACGCTGATCAACTCAAAGCAACAGACGCTGAAGATGCTGAGAAAGATTCTTGCCCTTTCGCCCCAACCCCGGCAAAGCACGAGGGCTATTATAACATATTCAGTTATTATAAGCCCCTATTTACCTAGCAGTAAGTAGGAACCTGGTTGCTAGTTGATTGGCAGATGGCTTTCCAGGGGTAGTAATCTCCTCCCCACCACCCCCCAAAAAAAATTGGTCACTCAATCTATGACTGTTTATGGGACACTGCTGAGCGCAATTGGCTGCCACGTTTCACCCACAAAATATACAGTCAATCCAGTATATTCTGTGAAGTGCTGTGAGACTTCTCTGTGACGCAACAAGGAGCTACATCAAATGCAAGGATTATTATTATACTTACTGAGAAATCATACTGACTGATCAGGGTAGAAGCCACCTTCCTCAGTTCCAGCCAACACCGCCTATTTCTCTTTTGCTCTGACTCGCTGAGGTTATCATCATGTAGTCCTCCATGCCGATCAACTAATCTGTCTCTGGCCCCCTGAAGTTGCTAACAATCTTTTTTTTACTGTTCATTCCGTCGCATTTCACCCACACAGTCAATCCACTTTACAGTGTATCCTGATAAGCGCTCTAAGACGTCTCAATGGCTTGATAAGGAGCTTTATCTATTATTATTATTATCAATTATCATTATTATTAGCCAAGGATATTGAGCCGAGGTGCTGGGGAACATGGAGGCTGGAGGAGGGTCAGGGGTGGGCATGCAGAGTCTCGGGGGAAGAGTTGATAGATTGGGAAAAGTCTAGATGAAGTGAAGTGGAGGTGAGGAAGCTTGGCAATGTCTTGATCGGTCAGTGGGCTAGGAGTGGGAGCTTGGAGCAGATGGGTAAATGTGTCTGTCTTCCGCCTCCCCAGCCGCTGGCTTATACTATCTGGCAGAGTTAATAGAGGAATACACAGTCATCACCAGCCGCATCATCAAGTACATGATATGGGTGAGTTCAGCATATCAGTACATCTCCCACTGCTTGCTCTCTCCCCACTGGGTCTTATTCCCCACTGGAGCTCTCTACTGTAATCCCATTCCCTGCTCACTCCCCATGTGTCTGTGCTGGTGCTCACTCCCTCACTGGAGCTCTCTACTGTAATCCTATTCCCTGCTCTCTCCCCCTCAGGTCCGTGCTGGTGCTCGCTTCTCCACTAAAGCTCTCTAATCTCATTCCCTGCTCTCTATGTGTTGGGCTATGGTGGTGTGTGTATTGTGATGTGTTGGGAGAGTTTGGAGGTGCTGTGCTGTTATTGACCTCCCCACCCCTCAGTGACTGTCTGTGTTTCAGTTCTCCTCAGCTGTGCTGGTCGGTCTCTACCTGTTTGAAGGCTTTCCGGGGCTGATGGTGGGCGTTGGCCTCTTCACCAACCTCGTCTACTTTGGGCTCCTGCAGACGTTTCCCTACATAATGCTAAGCTCACCCAACTTCATCCTGTCCTGTGGTAAGGTCCCGGACGGGCTAGTGTGGGATGGGCTGTGTAGGCGGTGCGGGAGGTGGCGCGTTGGTGGCGTTTGTGACGGCCATATTGCTTGTGCGTGGGCAACACGGGAGGTAGTATGTGGGTGGCCTGTGGACAACACAGGAGGTAGCGTTTAGGTGGCATTGTGGGCAACACGGAGGTAGTGTGTGGATGGCATGTGGGCAACACGGGAGGTAGCGTGCGGGTGGCATGTGGACAACACAGGAAGTGTCGTGTGGGTGGCCTGGGGGCAACACAGGAGGCAGCGTGTTGGTGGTGTGTGTGACAGCCATGTGGGCGACGTCAGAGGTGGGGGGGGGTTGGAGGGAGCCCAAGTGGGCAGACACTCTCCTCGGTGCTGGACATTGGACGGCTGTGTGGCATTGGTGAGCGGCCCTGGAGGTGGAGTGTATGCTGGCTGTTTAGTTGATGTGTGACGGGCACTGATCTGCTCCTCTCCTCTTCGCAGTCCTGGTTATTTATAACCATTACCTGGCGTTCCAGCAGTTTGCCGAGGAATACTACGCTTTCTCCGAGGTGAATGTGTGAGCATTAGCTTCACCAGACTGAGCGTGGGGAGGCTGTGTCTCCGGAGTGAGATGGGGGAGGGAGTGGGTATGAGGGAGTGTGTGTGAGTGTGTGTCTGTAAGTGTGATGGTATGTGTCTGTGAGTGCGATGGTATGTGTCTGTGAGTGTGATGGTGTGTCTGTGAGTGTGATGGTGTGTGTGAGTGTGATGGTGTGTCTATGAGTGTGATGGTGTGTGTGAGTGTGATGGTGTGTGTGTGAGTGTGATGGTGTGTGTGTGAGTGTGATGGTGTGTGTGTGAGTGTGATGGTGTGTGTGTGAGTGTGATGGTGTGTGTGTGAGTGTGATGGTGTGTGTGAGTGTGATGGTGTGTGTGAGTGATGGTGTGTGTGTGAGTGTGATGGTGTGTGTGTGAGTGTGATGGTGTGTGTGAGTGTGATGGTGTGTGTGAGTGATGGTGTGTGTGTGAGTGGTGGTGTGTGTGAGTGTGATGGTGTGTCTATGAGTGTGATGGTGTGTGTGAGTGTGATGGTGTGTGTGAGTGTGATGGTGTGTGTGTGAGTGTGATGGTGTGTCTGTGAGTGTGATGGTGTGTCTGTGAGTGTGATGGTGTGTCTGTGAGTGTGATGGTGTGTGTGAGTGTGATGGTGTGTGTGTGAGTGTGATGGTGTGTGTGTGAGTGATGGTGTGTGTGTGAGTGTGATGGTGTGTGTGTGAGTGTGATGGTGTGTGTGTGATGGTGTGTAGGTGAATGTGATAGTGCATGTGTGAGTGAGTTCCTGTCCCGGTGGTTACTGACTGACTGTGTGTGTCTCAGGTGCTGGCGTACTTCACTCTGTGCCTGTGGATTATCCCCTTCGCCTTCTTCGTGTCACTGTCCGCCGGGGAGAATGTCCTCCCGTCCACCGTCCAGCACGGAGGTGAGTGTCTGCCCTCTCGGGCTCCCTCCAACCCACCTCCGCTCCATCCCAACCCCCACTGTACAGGACTCCTCATCTCTCTCGCTCTTCCCTTCCTCCTACACTCTACAGATCAGGAGGCCGAGGGAGTAAAGAGTAGCAGACAGTGAAGTGGGAATGAAGGGGATGGTATCCAGCCAGACTGAATTGTTTATTCCCTCGGTGATGTTGAGAGTCATGAGAGAACGAGGCGCAAAACTGCCGACCAGCCGGCAGGTGTCATTAGCCTGAAAATGGTGTCCAATGTTAGCCCAAAAGGCCACCTGGTGGAGGACAGCAGTATTACCACATCCCGTATTGATCTGATTTCCAAAACAGCTCCGGGCTATCAATCCATCGAAGCTACATTTCTTCCTTTTGAAACAGCGCCTTATCAGGCGTTGAGATGTTTCAAAGTGCCTCACAGGATTTACTGTAAAGTACAGCGACTGTGTTTATAGGTGAATGCAACAGCCGATTTGCCACAGCAATGTCACATAAACAATTAATGACCAATTTTAGATGGGGTGGGGGGAGGGGGATTGTTGGCCAGGCTCTGGGAGTCAAAAATATGAAAGACTACTAGGTTAAACAGAGTTATGTAGAGTAAGGAAGCTTGCTTAAGGTTTCACCCTGCCCTGGAATCGAACCCGGTTCTCTCGCTTGCAGAGGCCAGTGCGCTATCCACTACGCTACGGGACTTCACAAGTTGTTTATTGGTTATTGTTTGATTTTCCAGACGACGTCGTGTCAAACTACTTCACTAAGGGCAAGCGGAGCAAGCGCTCAGGAATCCTCATCATCTTCACCTTCTTCAAAGAGGCCATCTTACCCAGCCGGCAGAAAATATACTGACGCGGGCAGAGGTTGGCGAGAGACTGGCCCCGCGGGGGAGGGGAGCATGGGTGTCTAAGCAAAGCGGGGGAGGAGCCCCCCCGCCAGGGCCCGGCGTCCGATCTGGACAGTGATTAGGATCTCGATCTCTCAAGCCCTCTCCCTCCCTCGGTTGCCATCCGCACAGGGATTGGGGTTTGCACAGGGATTGGGGTTTCATGCTGACTTCCCATAGATTATGAACTGAGTTCCATTTAGCGGAACTGGCTGCTTCCCCTCCCCTCCCCCATACACACACACACATACACACACACATAGTGTATTAAATGTAAATGGTCCCATTTTACAGGCATTCTGTGTCTGATTGATTTATTCTATTGGATGAAGAGTTCAGAATCCTCTGTAATGGACAGAGCGAGGAGCTGGTGGACATCAATACAGAGACAGACACAGTCAGTGACACGACGCTGGCCAGGAGAGATAGTCTGACACAGTGAGAAGGAACAGGAGACTATAGAAAGGAGGGAAATGTCTTTTGGGAGGGAGATGGGAGGGAAATGTCTGATGTGCGACTAGGTGGGGCAGTGACCACAGCAGATACCACAGTGACCTTTGGGCCCTGGCGAGCAGGTGCAGGGATCATTCACATTCCCAATGTAAGCAAGACACTTCAGACATCCAGTCTCTGCTCCTCACTGTCCAGTCTCCACCGCTCACCATCCAGTCTCTGCCCCTCACTGTCCAGTCCCCACCGCTCACCATCCAGTCTCTGCCCCTCACTGTCCAGTCCCCACCGCTCACCATCCAGTGTCTGGCTGTGTCAGGGCTGCGAGCAGTAAGTGCTGACGGCGGGCTGCGTGTGTGTGGGGGGCTGAGGGACGAGGCAGGCAGACAGGTCGTGTTTAGGGGGCTTGGTAGTGGGAGGTTTGGGGGTGGGGGGCTTGTCGGTGGGGGTCTGTGTGTAGGCAGTGAAGGCCTCGGGCTCCAGGACCTCCCGCAGGTGCAGTCCTATCTCAGAGACGGGGAGACGGTCGCTTGGGGGCCGGCGCTTCCTCAGGACGGTAAGGATGTTGGGAGAGCGGAAGTTCTCGGGGTAGTGCAGGCGGGAGAAGACTGTGAAGGGGAAGAGGTTTTTCCTGATGACGTGGTCAGGAAGGCTGGGCATTCGGCCTACCTGCCAGCCAATGTATGTGCGCAGCTCGGGACGTCCCATCTTGCTCACCCCAAGCCGGAAAAACGGCTCAAAGTTATAATCCTTCAGCACCCTCTTGGGGTCCACGGTTGTTCTCAGCATTACCGGACGGTTGATTTTGGTGACGGGGTGGGTGCTGGGGTTGGTGCTGGGGTTCCAGCGTGGTTTGCGGGCCGTGCCCACTACTGCCATGGTGGTCTGGTCGTCGAGCTCCTTGGGGTGCGCTCGTCTCCGCAGCTCCCTGATCCAGTCCCGAGGAGGGGTCGCCTTCCGGCACGACCCCCGGCTCTTCTTGATGCCAAATTCCTGGGCGGCTTTGAGCTGGTCGGAGCTCTGGTTGAGGATGAGCGAATCACGGCGTTGTTTCAGCCATTCCGTGGGCGCATTGCTGCGTTTCTTGTAGAAGGCAGTAGGTTTGTCCAGGATATTACGCATGTGTTTCTTCTCCAACCACCACTTGAAGGCCTCGTTATTAAAGTACTCCTTCTCCTCCTGCAGAGATCACCTCAGTAACCACACTTTCAGTTACTTTGCTCTGAAGCTTTGAAATTCTCTACCCCAATCACTCCACCTTGCCCCTCTTTCAAATGCAAGTTGTGATTGTTGTAAACCAGGCACCCAACCCAATCCCCTTGTCAGCCCTCCCATTTTGCAGCCCTTAACTTGACTGTGTCTTAGGCCTCACAGGGCCAGAGTTAAATCCCTGTGTTGGAACGTAGTAAAACAGGCACATTAGGAGGTCTCATTCAGCCCACCAAGCCTTTTCCGCCAGTTTACTGGTAGTTGTTTTCATGCCCATGCTCTGCCTTCACCACCCTGTCTGTCTCTTATCATACATTATTGGTTGTCTCCAGATCTCTCTGGGGCCTAATGTTCCCCACTCTTACAGTGCTGCGTGAGGATATGCACAACTAAAGACCTTCCTCTTCCATAGTGCTCACAGTCACCTTCCCCCTCTCCGGCTCATCCTGAGCTTCAGGCTCAACCTCAGCTCTAACCCTCCTGGCTCTGAGGTTAAGGCTCAGCCCCTTGTAATGATCCTCAGAGGGAAGAATCGTCTACTCTCTAACCTGTCAATTTCCTGTCATTATTTTATACCTCAATCACATCTCCTCGTAACTTAAGTACTATCGTCTACAATTCCCTTCACACCTGGCTCCTCCCTACTTTTCCAACCTGCTTACTCCCACTCCACTATCCACCGCCTCTACTCCGCCGGCTCCGGCCTTCTGCATGTCCCATGTGCCCTGCGCTTCACCATCAGCTGCCGCACTTTCATTCAATAAGCCTCGAAGCTTTGTAACTCCCCCAATCCTTCCACCCTGCCTCTCCTTCCCCACTTTTAGAACACAACTAAAGACCTTCCTCTTCTACCATGCTTACGGTCACCTTCCCCCTCCCCCCGGCTTGTCGTCAGTCTCCGTCACTGTTAAGCGCTTATAGGACACTGTCCTACATGAAGTGCAAGTTGTTGTCATTGTTATAGCCCCGGTCTACCCAACCTCTCTCATCGTAACTCAAAACATCCCGCCCAGAGATGAATCTAGGGACTGTCACTGGTCGCTGGTTACTGATTGTCGCGAGAGAGTGAGGTTTTTTCTTCACACCGCTCTGCTTAACAACTAAACAGCTTTATCCGGCCATTTCTAAGGCTGTTCAGTCACGTAGGTCCAGGCCTGAACTTCCGTTCATACCAGCTGGGAAGGACCTCACACACACACACACACACACACACACTCCAGCCCTGAGCTCCAGCCTTGCCTGGCCAGGCTGTGCTGTGCTGGGCTAGGCTGTGCTTGGCTGGGGGCTACCCTAGGCTAGGCTGGGCTGATCTCGGAAACTAGCTATTGGGAATGGAGAAGGGAATAATGCCCAGTGTTCTAGCCCCCTCCTCCTTCTCCCCGGCTCCCTACCAGACCTCACCTCTTCCATGTCATTCATGTACTTTTCTTCCACCAGCATCAAAGGCTTCATCTTCTCCAGTTTGTTCATTTCTTTCACAATGTCATTGGCGTTACTCTCCCACATCACGCTGGCGAGATACCTGCCAACACAGCACCGACTGAGACACAACACCACACAGAAACCGCTTGAGACGCACAGCTAGGTTGGGTTGCGCTGGGAGCTGAGGCTTTGCTGTGCTGGGGACTGGGCTGGGCTGTACTGGTCTGGGGCTGGAATGGGCTGGTGATCTGTGCTGGGGTGTGCTGAGGGTGGGGTGAGCTGAGCTGTGCTGGGGTGAGCTAAGGTGAGCTGGGCTGAGCTGAGCTGGGCTCTGCTGGGATGACTCACTTGGCACACCTACGGCGACCCCAGATCTTGGCTTTGTCGATGGGCTTGTGGTCGCTGTTGTCCTCGATGTTGACATTGGCTCCGGCCTCGATCAGGGTCATTAGATAGTGCAGCAGCCCCTCGTTAGCTGCCATGTGGAGCGCGGTCATCCCACTGGTCGTCTGCCTGTCTCGGGGATGGGGGGGAGACGTCAGTCGTCAGCGTCAAAGACCCTGCCCCCAGTCAATGCTTCCAACCATTACCTACCATTCACCTGGTGAGGATCCAAAACCGCACTTGTCCTGCTAGGACCACCCTACCCATTAGGGCTTTGGCTTGCAGGATTAACAGGAGCTGAGTGGGAGGATTCCTTGCCCCCAGTGACTGGTCTGCCCTTCCAGGTCCTGCCAATGAGCCAGGCTGGGCTGTGCTGTCATCAGCAGTGCCCCGGAATACTGCGGACCCGCCTGGCTCAGGAACTGGACTAGAGACCGTCACAGAGGGTGGGCTCGATTTAAAAATCCGTTCCATGTTCCATGTCACCTTGGAGCCATGGAACATGGAACGGAGGAAGATAGACACAGGAAGATAGACACTAGCTGGTCATTTGACAAGTGTTGGTTTGAGCCTCCACTAACTAGGGGAGGGAGCGAGGAGGGGGTAGAGAGTTGAGAGGGGAGCTGAAGGCACGGTCAAAGAGAAAGGTCTTGAAACCAGCCTTGAAGGAGGAAAGGGAGGAGGCGGCGAAGGCACTGGGGGATGGAGTTCCAGAGCCTCAGGGCTGAGAGGCTGAAGGCCCGGCCACCGATGGTAGGGCGGTTAGGGCGGGGGATGTGGAGCAGACCGGAGCTTGAGGAACGGAGGGTACCGGCAGGTAAGTAGGGGGTTAGTAGGTCGGAGAGGTAGGAGGGAGCGAGGCCGTGAATGGCCTTGTAGGTGAGGGTGAGGATCTTGAATTCGATCCTCTGGGGGATGGGGAGCCAGTGGAGGCGAGCGAGGGTGGGAGTGATGTGGTCGCGAAGCCTGGTGCGGGAGAGTACACGAGCTGCAGAGTTCTGAATGACCTGCAGTGTGGAGGGAGGTGCCGGGAAGGCAGGCGAGGAGAGAGTTCCCATAGTCCAGCCTTGAGGTGATAAAGGCATGGACCAGAGTTTCAGCAGCGTGAGGGGTGAGGTAGTGCCGTAGTCTGGCAATGTTTCGGAGGTGATGGAAGGCGGTGCCAGTTGTGGCGCAGATATGAGGAAGGAAGGACAGCTCAGGGTCGAACAGAACCCCGAGGTTCCTGATGGCTTTGAGAGGTGGAGAGTGCAGCCTTGGATGCTGATGCTGTCAGCACCTGAGGTGCGGAGGCGCTGACGTGAGCCAATCAGGAGGGCCTCAGTTTTGTGCACATTGAGCTGAAGAAAGTTGTCTCTCGTCCAGGATTCAATGTCAGACAGGGGTGACTAGAGATTGGGCTGTCCCTGTGCACCCCCCCACCTCACGGTAACCTGTGACCTACACATCGGTTTGGGCGCCGTGGCTGAGCAGGTACTTGAGGCACTGGAGACCCCGGATCTGATGGCCTTTGCTGATGACCATGTGTATCGGCCGCCAGCCCTCAACACTGGCCTGGTTCACGTCCATGTTAAACTCCTCCACCAGTACCCGCAGCGAGTCCAGCCGGCTGTGCAGGGCCGCCATGTGGAGCGCCGTGTGGCCCTGACACAGAGAGAGTTGGTGTTAGTCCCTGTGTGGCCCTGACATACAAAGACACAGAGAGTGTCCGTCACTCACTGTGTGAGCCTGACACAGAGAGACACACACAGAGTGTCACTCGCACACAGACACACACACATTCCTTCCCTGTCAATGACTCACGTACTGATCACTCTGTCTGGCTGTGTCTCACACACACACACGTGGAAACATAGGAGCAGGAGTAGGACATTCAGCTCCTTCAGCCTGTTGCACCATTTTACTACATCATGGCTGACCTGTACCTCAACTCCATTTACACGCCTTTGCCCCATATTGTTTGACATCCTGATCTAACAAAAATCTATCCACCTCAGTCTTGAAAATATGAATTGATCCAGCATCCACAACCTTTTGGGGAAGAGAGTTCCAGATTTTCACTACACTTTGGGTGAAAAACTGCCTATTGATTTCACTCCTGAAGCTTAACTCTAATTTTAAGATGATGTCCCTTGTACTAGACTCCTCCACCAGAGGAAAACTGCCCAAAACTGAACTCAGTACTCCAGATAGGGTCTGACTAAGGCTCTATATAGTTGAAGCACAATTTGTTCTCATTTATATTCAGGCCCCTGTGAAATAAAGGCCAACATCCTATTAGCCTTAAGTTTTGTACCTGTGAGCTTGTTTTTAGTGATTTGTGTACGTGGACATCCAAATCCCTTTACTCCTCCACAGTTCTGGATTCACATGCTGGTCTGTGGCCTGTCACACACACACAGACACATACAGACACTGTCACACACACAGTCACACACACATACGCACTGTCAAACCCCACATTTGTGCCATGACCCGTTCCAACTTTCCTCATCTCTGCAACATTGTCTACCTCCGCCATCGCATCTCACCACAGGCTGTCGAGACCCTGATCCATGCTTGATTACACCAACTGTCTGCTCACTGGACTTCCCAATTCTTCCCTCCACAAACTGCAGATTATTCAGAACTCTGCAGCTCGTGTCCTCTCCCGCACCAGGCTCCGGGAACCTATCACCCTAATTCTTGCCCGGCTTCACTGGCTCTCTATTCCTCAGAGAATCAAGTACAAAACCCTTGTTCTTACCTTCAAGGCCCTCCATGGTCTTGCTCCCCCTAACTCTCCTACCTCATAACCCCATATCAGCCTGTCCACTCCCTCCGCTTGGCCTGATTCAGGTCCCCCGCACTTCCCATCCCACCATTGGTGGTTGGGCTTTCAGCATCTTTGCCCCCACACTCTGGAACTCTATCCCTCAATCCCTCCGCCTCACCCTCTACCTTGTCTCCTTCAAGGCCCATCTGAGCCTTTCCTCATCGACCATGCCTTCGGTCACCCTCCCAACCCCACACACCCTGCTCTCCTCTCCTCTAACCCCAACTCCCAGCTTGGAACCAAAACCTCTGATTGTCCAATGCCCTGAGACGTCTTTCCGATGTGAAGGGTACTATACAAATGTAATTTATTTTTGTTATCACACTCACAGCCTGGTCCGTGGCCAGGTTGCCCTTGTTCTTGTTTAAGCTGAGCCGGAGCCAAGTCAGGTCCCCGATACTGGCCGCCATCAGCTCATCCTGGTGAACCTTCAGTCCCATCCATGGCTTCATCATCCTGGTTGCCATCCCCATCCTACAGCCTGTGGGGGAGAGAGAATGAGTGAGTAAGGGAAAGCAGCCCCCAGCCCCCATTCTGAGGGAGTGAGAGAGAATAGCCCCCATCCCATAGCCTGGGGGAGAGGGAGAGAGGGAGTGAGAGAGCAGACCCCAACCCATAGTCTGGAGGAGAGAGAGAGAGGGAGTGAGAGAGCAGACCCCAACCCATAGTCTGGAGGAGAGAGGGGGAGTGAGAGAGCAGACCCCAACCCATAGTCTGGAGGAGAGAGAGAGAGGGAATGAGAGAGCAGACCCCAACCCATAGTCTGAAGGAGAGAGAGAGAGAGAGGGAGTGAGAGAGCAGACCCCAACCCATAGTCAGGAGGAGAGAGAGAGAGGGAATGAGAGAGCAGACCCCAACCCATAGTCTGAAGGAGAGAGAGAGAGAGAGGGAGTGAGAGAGCAGACCCCAACCCATAGTCTGGAGGAGAGAGAGAGAGGGAATGAGAGAGCAGACCCCAACCCATAGTCTGAAGGAGAGAGAGAGAGGGAGTGAGAGAGCAGACCCCAACCCATAGTCTGGAGGAGGGAGTGAGAGAGAGGGAGTGAGAGAGAGCAGCCCCCAGCTCCACACTCGCGGGTGAGGCGAGAGGGAGAGGGAGGAGAGAATGAGAGAGTGAGGAGAGAGAAAGATTGAGTGAGGGAGGGAGAGAAAGAGTGTAATTGAGTGAGAGCGACAAAGTGAGTGAGGGCGAGGGACTGAGAGTGAGAGAGAGAGAGTGACAGACAGATTGAGGAAGAGATAAAATGAGGGCGAGAGTAAGGGTGAGGGTTAGGGTTTGTGACATACACACAGACTGAGATTGAGTGAGGAGAGACAGAGTGAGTGAAGGGAGGGAGAGAGGGAGGGAGGGAGAGAGGGAGGGAGGGATAGATTGAATGAAGAGAGAGTGAGGGAGAGAGACTGAGATTGAGTGAGGAGAGACAGAGTGAGTGAAGGGAGGGAGAGAGGGAGGGAGGGAGAGAGGGAGGGAGGGAGGGACAGATTGAATGAAGAGAGAGTGAGGGAGAGGGATAGATTGAGTGAGGAGAGACAGAGTGAGTGAAGGGAGGGAGAGAGGGAGGGAGGGAGAGAGGGAGGGAGGGAGGGACAGATTGAATGAAGAGAGAGTGAGGGAGAGGGATAGATTGAGTGAGGAGAGACAGAGTGAGTGAAGGGAGGGAGAGAGGGAGGGAGGGAGAGAGGGAGGGAGGGAGGGACAGATTGAATGAAGAGAGAGTGAGGGAGAGGGATAGATTGAGTGAGGAGAGGCAGACAGACAGACAGACAGGCAGAGGGAGGGAGGGAGGGAGGGAGGGAGGGAGGGGAGGATGGGGTGTCTGTATCTCTCTCACTGTCCAATAAGCCACTGACTTTGTCCACATTAACTCCGGGAACAAACCCGGACCATCAGCTCTCTCTGTGCCCAATCCCTGCCGTCTCCATGGCTACAGGTAAACACACACACACACACACACAGAAACAGAGATAAAGACGGACTATAGAGACAAGAAACAGACAAAAACTTCCCACTGAGTGTGAGCACTGCCCTCCCACACACACTGAGTGTGAGCACAGCCCTCCCACACACACACTGAGTGTGAGCACAGCCCTCCCACACACACTGAGTGTGAGCACTGCCCTCCCACACTCACTGAGTGTGGACACTATCCTCCCACACACACACTGAGTGTGAGCACAGCCCTCCCACACACACACTGAGTGTGAGCACTGCCCTCCCACACACACTGAGTGTGAGCACTGCCCTCCCACACACACTGAGTGTGAGCACTGCCCTCCCACACTCACACTGAGTGTGAGCACTGCCCTCCCACACACACTGAGTGTGAGCACTGCCCTCCCACACACACTGAGTGTGAGCACAGCCCTCCCACACACACACTGAGTGTGAGCACAGCCCTCCCACACACACTGAGTGTGAGCACTGCCCTCCCACACACACTGAGTGTGAGCACTGCCCTCCCACACTCACACTGAGTGTGAGCACAGCCCTCCCACACACACACTGAGTGTGAGCACTGCCCTTCCACACACAGAGTGTGAGCACAGCCCTCCCACACACAGTGTGAGCACAGCCCTCCCACACACACTGAGTGTGAGCACTGCCCTCCCACACTCACTGAGTGTGGACACTATCCTCCCACACACACACTGAGTGTGAGCACAGCCCTCCCACACACACACTGAGTGTGAGCACAGCCCTCCCACACACACACTGAGTGTGAGCACAGCCCTCCCACACACACACTGAGTGTGAGCACAGCCCTCCCACACACACACTGAGTGTGAGCACAGCCCTCCCACACACACACTGAGTGTGAGCACAGCCCTCCCACACACACACTGAGTGTGAGCACAGCCCTCCCACACACACACTGAGTGTGAGCACAGCCCTCCCACACACACACTGAGTGTGAGCACAGCCCAGCTAGGACCACCCTACCCATTAAGACTTTGGTTTGCAGGGTTAACAGAAGCTGCGTGGTATGACTCCCTGCCCTCAGTGACTGGTCTGCCCTTCCAGGTCCTGTCGATGGGCTGGGCTGTCATCAGAGGTGCCCTGGAGTATTATCGACCTGCCAGGCTCAGGACAAGATGACCATGACAGGAAAGTCAAAAGTGTCTGATTGTGGGACACCCATTCACTTCCCGTCAAGCTAAATCCACCAGTAACCTCACACTAATCAGCGTTTGACCAAAAAAAAGTTTATTATATCAATTCAACGTTATTGTATCAATTTGAGAACTTGCTCATTGAGGAGTTGAAGGGAAAAGATTGTAGGTTTGTAACAACAACAACAGCTTGGATTTTTATAGCGCCCTCCACTCCTGACGGCGTCTCGGAGCACTTTACAGTAACGGATCCCGGGGCAGAGCCAGGGGGAGGGGGAGGAAGGTGACCAAAGGCGCAGTCGAAAAGAAAGGTCTTCAGCCGAGACCTGAAAATGGGAAGGGAGGGAACGAGACAAAGAGAGTGAGGAAGGAATTCCAGAGCCTCGGGGCATAGTGGCTGAAGGCACGGCCGCCGAGGGCAGAGCGGAGGACTCGGAGGGCGAGGAGGAGGCCAGACCCGGAGGAACGAAGGCAGCGGATACTGTTTTGTGGAGAGAGGAGATCAGAGAGGTAGGGGGGTGCAGAGGAATGGAGGGATCTGAATACAAGGGTGAGGATCTTGAAGTCGTTCCTCTCTGGGACAGGCAGCCAGTGCAGTCTGGCAAGGACTGGGGTAATCGGGGAGCGGAGTTTGGTGCGGGTGAGAATACGGGCGGCAGAGTTTTGAATGATCTGGATTTTATGGATGGTAGTGGATGGGAGGCCAGGGAGGAGGACGTTAGAATAGGCCAGCCGAGAAGTGACAAAGGCATGGACCAGGGTTTCAGCGGCTTTTGGAGTGAGGTATTGGTGGAGATGGGCCATGCGTCGGAGGTGGAAGAAAGCGGTGTTGGAGAGGGAGCGGATGTGGGGGAGGAAGGATAATTAGGGGTCGAACCTGACCCTAGGTTACGTACGGGTTCGGAGAGTTTTAGGGGGAGGTCGGGTAGGTGGAGGAGATGAGAGCCATGAGATTTTAGACGTTGACGAGAGCCAAAGAGTGTGGCTTCCATCTTGTCAACGTTCAGCTGAAGGAAAATTGCGCTCATCCAGCGCCTGAGGTCTGAGAGGCAGGCTGACAGAACATCGGGGGATTGGGGGTCGCAAAGAGAGGTGGAAAAATAGAGATGGGTGTTGTCCCCGTACATGTGGAAGTGTACCCCATGTCTGCGGATGACATCCCCAAGAGGGAGCATGTAGATCAGAAAGAGGAGGGGCCAAGGATGGATCCTTGGGGTACCCCGCAGGTAACCGGGAGAGAGCGGGAGGAGAAGCTGTTTGTGCAGATGTACTGCTGGCGATTTGTGAGGTAGTACTTGAACTAGGCGAGTGTGGTCCCACTGAGGTGGATGACAGAGGAAAGGCGTTCGAACGCCGCAGAGAGATCCAGGAGGAGGAGGCAGAGGGAGCCCTGGTCACAGATAGAGAGGATGTTGTTTGTGACTTTCACAAGTCCAGTCTCTGTACTGTGGGCGGAAACCGGACTGGAGGGCCTCGAAGAGGGAGTGGGAGGAGAGGTGAGCGCGGAGTTGATTGACAACAACACGTTCTAGAACTTTTGCGAGGAAGGGCAGATTAGAAATGGGGCATTGGTAATGGCTGGGATTTGAGGAAAGGTTTCTTGAGGAGGGGGGTGATGACAGCAGTTTTGAGGAGGGCAGGGACTGATCCAGAGGAGAGGGACTGGTTGATGACGTCAGCCAGTAGTGGGCAGAGGAGGGGGAGCTGGGTGACCAGCAAGTTGGTGGGGAGGGAGTCGAGGCAGCAGGTGCTGGGTTTCATGGAGGTGATGGTGGGTGAGAGGGAGGAGGGAGAAATGGGGAGGAAGGAATGAGGATGGGGGTGGTGGTAGGAGCAAATGATGGGGAGGGTGAGGGGGACAGAGAGGGGTTGATGGTTGGTGACAAGGGGCAGGTGGATGAGGCTGCCTGGCAGATGTTGTGAATTTTAGATGAAAAGTCCACGACCTCCTCGCACTTGGCATTTGATACGAAGATTGAGGAGGCCTGAGGGGGGGAACGGAGGAGGTAGTGGGTGGTGGAAAAAAGGATTTTAGGGTTGTGTTTAGGCTCCATGATGATGTTGGAGTAGAAGGCCGTTTTTGCGCGTGTCAAGGAACGGCGGTAACTGTGATGCTCGAGCCATAACTATCAGGCCAGTTTTCTGCCATCTGCACTCGAGCAGCCGGGTATGGGATTTTAGGCGGCGGAGATGGTTGTTGTACCAGGGGGATTGAGTGAGTTTGGAGATGGTCCTGGATTTCAGGGGGACGAGGGATTTGAAGGTGGAGGAGAGGTGATCATGGAGCAGTTGGACGGCTGCTTCAGGATCTCTGCGGGTGGAAGGCCAAAGGGATAGGATGTTTGATGATGCGAGGGCCTTTGTGAGGGTCTCAGGGGCTAGCCTTTTCCAAGGGTGGTAGAGGATGGTTGAGAGCTTGGTGGAGGAGAGAGGGATGTGGGAGGAGAAGAAGATGAGGAAGTGGTCCGAGATGGCCTTGTCCACTATGCTGAGGTCGGAAATGTCAAGGCCATGGGTGATAACGAGGTCAAGGGCATGACCACGGTTGTGGGTGGGTGAATTTATATGAAGGGTGAGGTTTAGGGAGGGGAGGAGAGCAGTGAAGTCAGCAGAAGTAGTGCAAGGGGAGTTTAGGTGCTCGGAGCAGAGGGACAGGAAAGAGAGGAGAGTAGAGACATTTGTGTGGAAGGAGCCGAGGGGCTTGGGGGGGCGGTAGACAAGGAGGATTTTCAATGGGAGAGAGGGGTGGAAGAGGGTGAGGTGCTCGAAGGAGGGGAAGCAGCCAGAGGAGTAGAGGGTAAGACCAAGGGAGGCTTTGGAAATGAAGGCCACCCCACCGCCACTTTGGTTTGGACGGGGGGTGTGGTGGTGTGGTGGAAGGTGTAGCCTGGAGAGGAGGGGATGGGGTCATTGAGGGAGAGCCAGGTTTCGATGAGCCAAAGAATGTCAAGGTGCTCGTCCAGAATGAGGTCGTGGATGGTGAGGGCTTTATTTGAGAGGGAACGGACGTTTTGGAGGGAAATGCGGGTGGGTTTGCTGGAGGGAGGGGAGGGAGGAGAGAGTGATGCGGAGAGGATTTTGGGGTGTACAGGAGAGATGGTTGTGGAGAGTGGTGTGAGTGGAGAGTTGGGAAGGGTACTTATGAGGGAGGGGGAAGTTGGGTTTGCCTTAAGGTGGTTTGTGTGGAGGGAGTGAATGATTGGACACTTGGGGTTGCTGCTCCGGGACAGCAAGTGCCTGGAGCCATGATGGGCCCGGCGTAGGATGCCCAGGCTGGAGCAGAGGGAAGTGGTGATGGGGTCGAGGAGAGAGAGAAGGCGGGGAGGGCGGTGGGAGAGAAGGACAGAGGGGGAGTAGCGGATAGAGGGGAGTGGGAGGAGAGGCATAGGGGCAGGTGGGAGGAGAGACATAGAAGGGGGCGGGAGGAGAGACATTTGGAGTGGAGGGGGAGGCTCGGGTCGGGGTGGCAGCCAAAATGCGCATGCAGAGACCGGGAGCGAGTGATCAAGTGGGACGACATCAGCCCGTAGGCTCAGCCTCCCAGGTCATGGCCGGGATGGCTGTGCCAGGGGCCAGGACATTGTTGTTGTTACTGTTTATTTAAAAAAAAAAATTTTAACTGTGACGTCACACCGACGTCACTTTGTGAATCGCGCCACCCCGTCACTACCTCCCGCCCCGCGCTCTCCCACCTCCACTCCCGACTGAGTGGCTCCTCACCTGGCTGTGCTTTTATACGCAGCTAGGCCTCAGCTCTGCCCCCCGCTCTCCTACCTCTGCTTCCGACTTGTAACTAGAGAGTGAGCGAGAGAATGAATCTCACACCCACATAACAATAATAATAATCATCCGTCCATTTGATGTAGCATCTTAGCACCTCATTGAGACGTCTCAAGTGGATTGACTGTGTATTTTGTGGGCAAAATATAATAATAATCCGTGCATTTGATACAGTGCCGTATTACATCAAAGCACTTCACAGGATTCACTGTAAAGTGTAGTGACAGTGTACATTGTAAAGAAACTCATCAGCCAATTTGCACACAGTGATGTCCCACAAACAGCCACGAAGTGAGCGAGCCAATTTGTCTGGGGGGATTGTCAGGCGGGACACAGATGAGAGAAACTCTCTTCTTGTTTCCAATAACACCACGGGAATTTTAACGTCCACCTGAACAGGCACAGACAGGAGATCGTTTAACTTTTCATCCTAAGAACGGTGTCTTCGATAATGCAGCACTGCACTGGAGCGTCAGCCTGGACTGTGAGTCTTTGACGTTGGTTGGAACCCACAACAACAACTTACATTAATTAGAGTACATTAGAGTACAAGAGTAGGGAAGTTTTACTGCAGTTGTATAAGGCCTTGGTGAGACCGCACCTAGAATATTGTGTGCAGTTTTGGACTCCTTATTTAAGAAAGGACATACTTGTCTTAGAGGGGGTGCAGCGTAGGTTCACTGGTTGGTTCCTGGGATGAGGGTTTTGACCTGTGAGGATAGGTTGAGTAAACTAGGCCTATATTCTCTAGAATATAGAAGAAATAGAGGTGATCTTACAGAAACTATGAGATTCTTAAGGGTCTTGACAGGGTAGATTCCGTGAGACTGTTTCCCCTGGTTGGAGAATCTAAAACTAGGGATCATGGTGTTGGTATAGAAAAAAGTTAACAGGAATATGACTTATATGCAGCTGTCTGTGGGTAGAACGCCTGACCAGCGACCAAGGTTATGAGAACATCTGATTAAGGAAGAACAGGGAGGGTGAGAAAAGGGACAAGATAAGGAGGAAAACTAGTTTAGGATGGTTTCAGCAAGCAGAAGAAACTTAGGCTAGTGGAAAAGTACCATCACGAGCAGATCACGAGTACACCAACTCTGTGTATAAATACAACAGACTCACAAAGGAAAGTTGAGCTCGACAGAATAAGAACTACAGGTCGCTGAGCCGAGTGCTGGTCATCAGGCACGACTGCTTATCTGGTAGTATATTTCTGTTACATGTATCATTGTTGCATTGTTGAATAAATTGTCTTGATTGTACAACTCTGTGTTCAGCCCTTTATTGGTTAATGGCAAGGATCCAATTATGGTAAAAGGAACCAAACAATAGTCTCAAGATTAAGGGTCAGCCTTTTCAAACTGAATTGAAGATAGTGAATTTGTGGAATTCTCTACCCCAGAAGGCTGAGGTTGTTAGATTTCTAATGAATAGAGGGATTAAGGGATATGGGGATGGGGCGGGTAAATGGAATTAGGTTAGAAGATCAGCCATGTTCTTATTAAATGGCGGAGCAGCTCGCACGATGGGGAATAGATCAGCATTTAGAAAGGAGATGGATAAACCCGGGAGGGGAAGAAGGTTCGAGCAGAGGATGGTGGGGGGCAGATGGGGGAGGGCGGGCAGCATAGGGATGGTCGGCTTGTGGGGAGTGAACTCTGGGATGGTATGATGGACTGTAATTTTGTAGTTGTTGTTGTCTCCCACGTCCTGTGCTTCTGTTTCTGCAGTTGCTGCTGTGTCTGTTTCAGTGCTGTGTCAGTGCTGTGTAAGCCTGTGTCGGTGCTGTGTCAGTGCTGTGTGAGCCTATGTCGGTGCTGTGTCAGTGCTGTGTGAGCCTGTGGAGGTGCCGTGTCAGTGCTCGGTGATCCTGTGTCAGGCTGTGTCAGTGCTGCCCTCGAAACACTGCTCTATCCTCTTGCTCTGCAAGATGGCCCCTGTTCGTTGAAGCATCTTCCAGGGGTTCGTTTTGACCTCCGCTCCCCCCAAGGGTGTGCTGCCTACAGGACTAGGGTCGCACCGCGAGGCTGGGAAAGACGAGAGCACAGAACATAGCGTCACAGCAAACACTACACAGAAACCCATCACCATGGTCAGCTGGTGTCTGACACGCAAGGAGACCCATCATTGTACTTAACAGTAACAGTACAGTACAGTACAGTAACAGTTCTCTTTGACCGTGCCTTCAGCTCCCCTCTCGACTCTCTTCATCCTACTCGCTCCCTCCCTTCCCTCCCCTCACCCTGACCATTTCCCCCTCCTCTCTCCCTCCCTTCCCTCCCCTCACCCTGACCATTTCCCCCCTGCTCGGGTCATGACCCAACTGTGCAGCGCCTTGGGACGTCCTCCTGACGTGAAAGGCGCTCTATAAATGGAATCTTGTTGTTGTTGTTGTTGTAATAGTATCAAAACTAGACTGAGAGATGCACGCATGCTTCCTAAGCATGGAAATCTCCCCATATCCAGATTGGAATGCGCACTCGCTCTTTCCCTGGAGGGAAACATCCTTCTTACCTAATGCTGAATAGTTTGAGGCTCAGGTTGGCAAGAGCCAAGGATTGAGGACCCCAGAGTATGCTTTCGGGTAACTACTGGAGACTGGCAAGCTTTCCTGCTGCTTGTCCAGCTGGGACCACCCTACACATTAGGGCTTTGGTTTGCAGGGTTAACAGGAGCTGAGTGGGAGGATTCCCTGCCCCCAGTGACTGGTCTGCCCTTCCAGGTCCTGGTGATGAGCCAGGCTGGGCTGTGCTGCCATCAGCAGTGCCCTGGAATACTGCGGACCCGCCTGGCTCAGGATCCCGACTAGAGACCATCATAGAGGATGGGCTTGATTCTGACATTCTGTTGCCAGGCACGTCACCTTAGGGCCAGTCCAGCTCCATGCTTGCCCCGTTGATTTAACTCCCGATACCTGGATTGTTTTCCGGAAGGTCGTCTGGGGGTTGCTGCGAGGGAACGTCCATCACTCTGCGTCTGCGGAGCAGGATGTTCTGCAACTCATTGTGTTTGTGTCCACTCCCCAGCCGACTCTTCCAGCTCCTCCGCTTGGTCCTCATCCCCTCCTGTCACCGGAGACACAACTGTTACCTACAGCCCAGGCTTCACACACGCAACCAGGCCTCACACATACCCCATTCCCTGCTCTCTCCCCATCGTGCCTCTGCTGGTGCTCACTCCCCCAATGGAGCTCTCTGCTCATAATCCCATTCCCTGCTCTCCACATCTTGCCCCAAAGCACCCACAGTAACAGTGTGAGAAGCGCCAGACCAAGAACAATGTCAGATACTAACCAAGATCCCTTTAAGCTCTGTCACTGGACTCTCTGCTCTCGGGCTCGGGAGCTGCAGGCAAGAGCAGAGCACAGAGCGGTCATTGCGTCACACACACACACACACACAGACGTCACTGTGTCACAAACACACACAGACATACACAGAGTTCACTGTGTCACACACCCACACAGAGAGGAAAATAACTAAAGCAAGGAAGAATGAGAAGGAAAGTGATAAACATAAAAGAGAAAGAAAAATAGCCTAAAAACGCAATTTAAAACATGTCTCAAAGCGCTTCACAGGATTCACTGTAAAGTGCAGTGACTGTGTCTTTAGTAGGTGCATGAGGCAGTCAATTTGCGCACATCAATATCCCACAGACATCCACGATTTTATCTGGGAAATTGTTGGCCAGGACACCAGTAGAGAGTGTTGCGGGATCCTTAACATCCACCTGAATAGGCACAGACTGAGTTTTAACGGTTCATCCGAAGCACTGGGTCTCTCTGACAATGCAGTGCTCTCTCCCCACAGCACTGCACTGGAGCATCTGCCGGAAACCACAATAACAACAACAATAACAATAACAATAACAATAACTTGATTTATATAGCGCCCTCCACGCCGGGCGGCGTCTTGGAGCGCTTCACAGTAACAGATCCTGGGGCCGAGCCAGGGGGAGGGGGAGGAAGGTGACCAAAGGCGTGGTCGAAAACAAAGGTCTTCAGCAACCTCCTGAAAGGTCTTCACAACTCCTGAAGCAGAGGCTGGAGTGGGAGGGACTGACCCAGGCTGAAACCAGCAGAACCCAATTGGCCGGGTGGGGGGGAATATGAGGAGGGTCCCACGTACTACTGTGGCTGGTTACCTCTGTGTGGCATTTGGTGGGTTTCAGCGAGACCCCGTTTTTGATTCGCTCCATCATTTCATCCACGGCCATTGTCTTTAGGCTGTCCAGGGTGGTGGTCTCTGTGGACAGAGACAATGCTCTCACTCAACTCCATCACAGGCACCGCCGAGACCTCAATCTGGCCGGCAAACTTTTATTTTTTCCTGTGAGTTGATCAGCCCCTCCTCACCTACCTCTAATCCCATTCCCTGCTTTCTCCCCATTGTGGCTGTACTGGTGCTCACTCCCTCAATGGAGCTCTCTACTCTAATCCCATTCCCTGCTCCCTCCATTGTGTTGGTGCTGAATCTAGATGCCCCACTGGAGCTCTATTATTACTATAATCCCATTGCCTGATCTCTCCCCAACGTGTCTGTGCTGGTGCTCGCTCCCCCATTGGAGCTCTCTACTCTTATCCCATTTCCCCTGAGTATGAGTATTGACCATCGTGAGTGTGAGCAGTGACAGTGTGAGTGTGAGCAGTGTGGGCGTGAGCAGTGTGGCTGTGAGCAGGGTGAGTGTGTTACTCACTGTTCTCTGGCCCAGCTTCCTTGCGTTCCTGCTTCCTTCGGCGTAACAGCTCTGCCAGGGGCCTGGAGTCCGAGCACAAACCCTGATAAGAGCCTCATACTAACACATCCTCCAAGCCTGTGTTCTGAGCCAGGTTTTCCCACTCTTCTGGAGCTTCAAACACACAGTGAGTGTGAGCCAGACATTGAGTGTGAGTATGAGTGTGATCCAATCCATCGCAACACTAATTCTCACACATCCCTCTTCCCATCCACACATTCACACACACACAGCCTCTGGGTCGTGGTCAGAAATTCTAGCCAGTCTCAGGCTGTGGAGCCTGTGTGTGTGAGTGTAGCACCCCTATTTAAGGCTCCACTTTGGAAAATTTCCGAATCCTTGTTTTCTGGTTGGAAAGCCTGTTTTTTCCACTGTTAGAAACGCAGTTGGTTTCCGAACTGATTCAGTGCCAGAGTGAATGATTGCATTCTGCCGTAAACCTAACGTTTAAGACAAGGTGGTCTCACGGCTGGGATCAAGTGGAATTTGGGGACTCTGAGAGTGGCTGCGCTCCGACCCCGCTCCCACCACATACAATAACAACATCAAATTACATTTGTAAAGCACCTTTCACGTTTGGAGGACGTCCCAAGGTGTTGGATGTTGGACAGTCAAGGATTTACACAAAATCATATAGATACTGGCTCCACAGGCTGAAATTGGTTGCGTGTGTGTGTGGGGGGGGGGGGGGGGTGGGGGGGAGGCAGGATCAATGTTGCGATGGATTGGATCACACTCACATTAACACACTATCACCTCTGTTCCTGGGCTGTGTCTGGACAATGGGAATATTGGCCCAGAATCCTGGAGAAACTCCCTGCTCTAACACACGAAAAACACCGAATCTTCAGGAAGGTTATAGTCTTGCGTCTCTGACACCAAAGCACTTCACAGGATTTACTGTAAAGTGTAGTGACTGTGTGTCTATAGGAGAACTTGGCAGGCAAATTGCAGACCGATGTCCCACAAACAGCTTTGTCGTGAATGAACAATTAACCTGGGGAATTGTTGGCCAGGATACCGGGAGAGAGGAACTCCCTTCTCTATTCCAATATCGCGCAGGATGTTTAACATCCACCTGAACACGCAGAGATGGGACCTAAGTTTAATATCTCATCTGAAGGGTGGCGTCTCTGAAAATTTGCCGCTATCTCCCTCCAGCACCTGCCTGGAGCATCAGCCTGGATTGAGAGCTCAGAGTCCCTGATGTGGTTGCTTGAGTTTGAGCAGGTTCAATCAAATTGGGTGTTGTTCACTCAGGGGTTAAACACATCCGTTGCTGAGTGCTGAAGTTTCACTTACTCGATCGGCACTCTGGATGCTGGTGGGTGTGCAGGCGGGGGTGGGGGAGGGGGTGGAGGGGGGGGAGGGGGTGGGGGAGCCCCTTCCTGTTGCTCCTCATGGGTTGTGTTGTCAGCAGCCTCCAGCTTCATCCGAAGTGTCTGAACTAAAGAGATTCGATCAGAGTGATTATTAATAATAATAATTAATAATCCTTGCATTTGATATAGATCCTTATCACATTGTTGAGACATCTCAAAGCGCTTCACAAAATATACTGTAAAGTGTAGTGACTGTGAATTTTGTGGGTGAAATATGGCAGTGTCCCACAATCAGTCGTGATTGAATGACCAATTTTTTTTTTAGGAATTATTATCGCCTGAAAGCGATCCGCAAATCGACTAACAACCGGGTTCCTAGGTAAACAGAGGTATGTGGAGTAGGGAAACTTGCCTAAGGTTTCGCCCTGCCAGGGAATCAAACCCGGGTCCTCTTGCTTGTGAGGTGAGCATGCTAACCACTACACTACGGGACTCCATAATGACCAATTTTATCTGGGGGATTGTTGGCCAAGACATCGAGGGAGAGAAATTCCTTTCTCTTTGCCTATAGCGAGATCTTTAACGCCCACCTGAACAAGCACAGACAGGATCTCGGTTTAATATCTCATCCAAAGGATGGCACCTCCGACAACGGAAACCACCGCTCAGCACCATGCTGGAGCATCAACCTGGACTGCGACCAGGGAGGGTTGTAGGGCACAGATTTTTGAAGAATTGTTAAATCGGGTGTTTATTTAAACCACAACACCTTATGCAGTTCACACAGGGTTGCTTCTCGGAGCGCTTAACAGCCAGTTTCTTTTCAAGAAAAGTGGAAAACTGGCTTCCAGATTACCACTGTGATTGAAGGATTTTTCTCAATTCTTGCTTTCAGGAGCTTTCCCGCTGCTTGTCCAGCTACGACCATCCCACCTGTTAAGGCATGGCTTGTAGGGTTAACAGGAGCTAAGTGGGAGGATTCCCTGCCCCAGTGACTGCCGATGATCCAGGCTGTGCTGAGCTGTCATCAGCAGCACCCTGGAATACTGCGGACCTGCTTACCTGCCTCTGTGACCGGACTAGAGCTCAATTCCGACATTCCATTGCCATGTCACCTTGGAGCCAGTTCAGCTCCGAGGAGACCAACTGCCCCCCCGGTGACAAGACACTGACCTTCTGTCTCCAGCTCAAGGCTCTTGGTCTCTGCGACAGCCAGCCTGCTCTCCACATCCTCCTTCTGCTCGTCAGCTATACTCAGGGCCAATGTCAGCCTGGCCACCTCGCTCTCCGCCTGGCTCCCCTCCAGCCTGTGCTTCAGCTCCTGTACCTGCATAATGAGGATATCATTATCCTCCTGCCCCACCATGGTCCTGCCCCAACCCCACCATGACCCCCGCCCCAACACCGCCATGAGCCATACCCCAACCCCACCATGACCCCCGCCCCAACACCGCCATGAGCCCCACCCCAACCCCACCATGAGCCCCACCCCAACACCGCCATGAGCCATACCCCAACCCCACCATGAGCCCCACCCCCACCATGAGCCCCACCCCAACCCCACCATGACTCCCCCCCCAACACCACCATGACTCCCACCATGACTCCCACCCCAACCCCACCATGAGCCCCACCCCAACCCTACCATGAGCCCCACCCCAACACCACCATGACCCCCACCCCAACACCACCATTAGCCCCACCCCAACACCATCATGACCCACCCCCAACACCACCATGACTCCCACCCCAACCCCACCATGACTCCCCCAACACCACCATGACTCCCACCCCAACCTCACCATGACCCTTGCCCCAACCCAATCATGACCCCCGCCCCAACCCCATCATGACACCTATCCCAACCCCATCATGACCCCCACCCCAACCCCAACCCAATCATGATCCCCGCCTCAACCCCACCATGGCCCCTACCCAACCCCACCAACCTGTTCCACAGGTTTACTACTCGCTCACGGAAATACTGTTTGCACAGATTCATTCTGAATTTACCCCCCTTCAATCTCAGGCTGTGTCCTCTGCCTCCATCCCCACCCCAATCCGAACTCTGTCGCCGTCCCAAACTTCAAATCCTGCCTATGTTCCACCTCTGCCCCTGCCTGCCCTCTGCCCCTGCCTGCCCTCTGCCCCTGCCTGCCCTCTGCCCCTGCCTCCCCTCTGCCCCTGCCTGCCCTCTGCCCCTGCCTGTCTCTGCCCCAAGTCCGCTCTGCCTCGCCCCAAGCTCTTGGGGTTAGGGGGGTTGGGTAGTGTCTTACCAGCTGCTGGTGCTGGTGTCTCTCCTGCTCCAGGCAGCGGTTGAGGGAGGCCACCTCCTCCAGGGCTGTGAGCAGTTGCTCGCTTGGCAGTACATTCTGTAACAGAATTACACTCTGCCGGCTCGCCTCCCGCTGCCTTACCAGCATCTGGGCTCCCGCACCAGCACACAGTCAGTCACACCGTCAGGCACACAGTCACACAGGTACACAATCAGGCACACCAGCACACAGTTAGGCATAGTCATACCAGCACAGGACAAGCACAGTCACACATTCAGTCACATCCGCAGACAGTGAGGCACACAGTCATACAGGCACACACACAGACAGAGAGTCACACATTCACATCGTGCAGACAGACAGGCACACAATCACACAGATAGCCAGTCATGCAGACAGTCAAGCAGTCACACAGACAGACAGACAGACAGACAGACAGTCAGTCAGGCACTCACACACACACCCAGCGAATCAGTCAGGCGGTCACCCAGACAGTCAGGAAGAAAGTCAGGCAGTCACACAGCCAGACAGCCAGGCAGACAGTTAGGCTGTCACGCAGACAGACAGACAGACAGACACAAAGTCACACACAGTCAAACGCATACATAGACAGTCAGCCACACAGTCAGTCACACAGACAAACTGTTGGTCACACCAGTCAGATAGACAGACCTACAGACAGACACAGGGCGGAACAGTTCAGCAGTTTGGGTGGGTGGGGGGGTGGCAGCTGTGTGGGCGAGGCAGTGCAACGTGGAGTTGGGCTGGTTGGAGTGGGACTGTGTGGGCTGTGCTGTGGGGTTGGGGGAGTGGGGGTGGGCTGTGGGGTGGGGGAGTGGGGGTGGGGCTGAGCTGTGGGGTTGGGGTAGTGTGGGTGGGGATGGGCTGTGGGGGTGGGGGAGTGGGGATGGGGCTGGGCTTTGGGGCAGGGCTCTATGGGCCGGGGCAGAGCAGAGGGGATATACCTGGTGGGCGTAGGTTTCTGCCTGCTGCCTGAGCTCCTGTTCTAGGTCGAGCTGCTGCTGCAGCTCCTGGTAATCCTGAGTGACCAGCACCGACACTACAGCCAGAAAGGGTGGAGAATGACTGTCAGCATCAGCCACACCAGGACCATTACTCTTCCCCCCACCCCCGTCTAGACCGCTCCAGTTCAAAACTCTCCAGTCAGGATTGGTGATGATCTTAAATTGATGTGCTTTAGTTACCAACTCACTGGGTATGGGGGAAATGGCAGGGGTGTGGGATTCAAAGATCTGCCATCTTTATTTATCTATACTAATAAAACGACAATATGGCGCTGTGGCTTCCTGCGTCACAGAGCATGTACGTAGCCAAGCGGCGGGAGCAAAATAAAGAATACAGACGAAGCTATGCCAACAACAAAATCACATTTTTAAAGCGACGAGTCCCCCCACTGAGTTCTCCCACAGGAATCCTCTGACAGCAGTCCTCCTCGAAGAATATAGATAAAGATGAAATGTCTGTCTGTCTGTTTGTGTGTCAATCTACATTCCGCATTGGATCATTTGGTTGCAAGCAAAGCCGCAATGGGTACAGCTAGTAACCTAATAACGTGCGTGGGGGTGGAGTTTAGCAGGGTCTCTTTGGAGAGCTCCTAAGAGACTGGCTCCAAGGTGACATGTTTGGCAACAGAATGTTGGAATCTGGCCAGCCTTCTGCGACAGTATCTGTGTCCAGTGCCTGACCCAGGCGGGTCCTCAGTATTACAGGGCACTGCTGATGACAGCACAGCCAGCCTGGCTCATCGGCAAGACAGTCACTGGGGACAGGGACTCTTGTTGATTTTCCCATTGATTCCCTCTCGATCCTGATGAAGATGTTGAACCAGATCTGTGAGAAATTGCCTCAAATGTCCATGATGCTTCTGAGCCAGCAGGATTCTGGGAAGGTTTTTTGTGCATGTCAACTGCCAAAGAGTCTGATGAGCACCTTGTGCGCAACTGACTGGGCCGTTGCTGTCTGTGCATAGATGGACGGAAATGCAAGGGGATCCAGTGTCGTGGCGCGGGGCTCAGGAACCAGCTCAGATCTGGAGGCAACGTTGAAGTTCGCAACCAAGTATGCAAAAAACAACTTGGTAGCTCAGAAACCTGCAGTATTGGCTGCTCAGCTAACCTGGATTTGCTATCAGTTCCTGTTAACCCTGCAAGCCAAAGCCTTAACAGGTAGGGTGGTCCGATCTGGACAAGCAGTGGGAAAGCTGACCAGACAGTGATCTCAATGGCAAACAATACAGTTTTAGCTGGTTAGACTGCAACAGTTACCCCAACGCACACACTGGGCTCCCCACGCCTAGGCTCTTGCCAACCTGCGCCTTAAACTCTCTGGAATCCAGGGAGAGAGCGCACATTCCATTCCAACAATCTATCTCTGGGATTTCCATGTGTAGGTGGGATGCGTGGAATTCTTAGATTGGTTTGGATATTCTTAAGCCTGGAGATAGGTTTCCACATGTGGCAGACACCTGGCTGATCAAATAAATACGTAGAGAAGAGAGGCCAGGCTAGACCCCTCTCCTTGCCCCTCAGGAAACCAGTACTCACCTGTATTGATGCGTTTGAGAGCCTTGCTCTGCCTCTCCTGCACTTTCTGCAGCGCAATCTTCTCTGTCCGCTCTCTCGCCACCTACAACCAGCATCACAAGGCAAGTGGGTTACTCTCGGTATTTAGCCTCAATATTTACCCCCAGTGTTTACCCCCAACGTTTACCCCCAGTGTTTACCTCTCAAATCACACCCACCTCTCTGCTAAACTGCAGACATTACCTGGATCAGCCGCTTGCACTCTCCTCTTTGGGTCAGAACCTTGTGGGTTCAAGCCCCACATTGAGGACTTGGAGCTCACAGTCCAGGCTACCTCTCCAGGGCTATGGTAGTGGAGCGCTGAACTATCAGAGGTGACATCCTTTGGAAAGAGGTGATAAAGCCAAGCTCTCGACTGTTTGCCTTTACCTATAAATCATTGCACACCCTCACACCTCTCTGATGTCCTACCCACTCCTCTCCACTTACCTGCTCTGCTCAGCTAACCTGGGTTTGCTGCCCATTTCCTGATCTCACAATTAGGCCTCCCCCTTATTGCCTCACACTCCACCTCGCCCCTTTTCAAGTTGTCTTAGGACGCACCTTTTCGGCTGTGCCGATGATGCCCTCCCCCACACTCAGCATCCACCCCGCCGCTGTGAAGTGCTCTGAGACATTGCCCTAAGTAAACGGCACAATGCAAGTATAAATTGTTTTTATTGGTATCACAATAGTATTTCAAAAATAAAAGGGAGTTTCTCACGGTGTCCTGGCTGATAAATCCCCAGCGCAACTGGATTATATTAGAGGACAGGAAGGGGTTTGGGCCATTGGGAGTGTATACAGTGGGAGTGAGGGGAAGGAGTCAGTTGGTTTCAGTGACCACTGTGACAGGACTCCGCTGGACGAAACAGCCTGGGGGTGACTCACCTCTTCTGTCAGTTGGGTGAATCGAGCTTGCAGGGTCTCCAGCGAGCTGCTCAGCTCCCTCCTCTCCTCCAGCAGCAGTGTAATCCTCTCCTGAAGGTCTGACCAGAGAGAGATATCTCCATTAGTCTAAGCAGCAACAGGACCTGTCTTGGGGGACAAGCGCTCCGAGACGCTGCCCCGTGTGAAGGCTGCTATATAAATGCAAGTTGTTGTTGAGGGTTGGTATATACTGACAATCCGGGGCAGGTTTACATTGTAGTGGCACCATCAATATACCTCACTCTCGAGATGTGTTATTCTATATATAAACCCCACTCCCTTAGATTCTAGCCTGTACCTCACTCCTGGGATGTGTTATTCTATATATAATCCCCCTGGAACCCAGGATTAGATTCCACCTTGTAACTCACTCTTGTCTAAGCATTATTCTCGTTGTGTTTAGATCTCAGTAAACACAACGTAAGGGTCCTCTGTCTCTGTCTCTCTGTTCATAGCAAATAAACAATACAATGAAAGATGCACGGACCACTGACATTCCACCAGCAGGTGTCACTAGCACATTGAATATGATGAACAGCAGGTCGGAAATTCCGCCTAGTCTCAGCTACGGGACCTATTTGCCATAACATTTGCTATGACCCAGGATTGTGGGAATTCCTAATTCAAGGCTAAATTTGGGAGCTATTTTTCCACAGTTCTTAAAAATTAAACGTACAATAGTATAATAATCCTTGCATTTGATATAGCGCCTTATAACATCGTTGAGACGTCTCAAAACATTTCACAGAATATACAGTAAACTGTAGTGAACGTGTATTTTGTGGGCGAAATGTGGCATCAATTTCAGCACAGCAGTGTCCCACAAACAGTCTTGGATTGAGTGAATAAATTATTATTATTATTTTGTTTATTTATTTTTTGGAGGGAGTATTACCCCCAGAAAGCAGCCCACCCATCGATTAACAAGCAGGTTCCTACTTACTGTTAGGTAAACAGTGGCGTGTGGAGTAAGGAAATTTGCCTAATGTTTCACCCTGCCCGGGAATCGCACACCTGTCCTCTCGCTTGCAAGGTGAGTGCTCTAACCACTATGCTAAGAACTGAATTGTGGAAGTTTCTGCAACTTCCCCTGTAAACCTGCAAACAAAATGCTCCACGAGCTAAGACTAGGAGAAATCTGGGACCTTAGCCCATCCTTGTCCGGTAGTCTGAAGGGTCTGTCTTCTGCCACACTCACTCGCTCGCTCGTGCGTGCACACATCCACCCACCCACCCTCCTGCACACAACCGTAACTCACACAGAGATCACCAGCATGGGGCTGCTCTCACCTTTGACCTGGAGCTGGTATTGGTACTCTGGGTTGCAGGTGGGGTTGGGGGTCTCCTTGTCCTCAGCCCCGAGCTTGGTAATGTCATCTGGGAGAGAGTCCCACATAGGCTGTAACGCTCGACTCAGCCGTACCAGCTTCTTATTCTCCTTGTTCACCTGGGAAATGGTGACAGATTAATCCTCATTGTCGCTGTGTGTTACTGGCTATAACATTGTATATTATATAATAACACACCGTGTGTAATGGCTATAACACAATAAAAACAACAACAAATTACATGTGTATAGCACCCTTTACGTCCCAAGGAGCTGGACAGACAGAGATTTGGACCTGAGCAGGGGTTTGGGATCAGGAGGGGTAGAGGGCAGGGAGGGTAGGGGTAGGAGGGTGACCGAAGGTATGGTCAAAGAGGAGGATCTTGAAATGGGCCTTGAAGGAAGCAAGGGAGGGAGCAAGGCAAAGGGATTGTGGGATGGAGTTCCAAAGGGTGGGGGCAGAGAGGCTGAAGGCCCGACAGCTGATGCTGGGGTGGACCGGGCGGGGGATGTGGAGAAAGCCTGCTGAGCGGTGGGAACAGACAGGTTGATTTGGCGTTAGCAGATCACAGAGGAAGGAAGGAACACAGCCGTGGAGGGCTTTGAAGATGAAGACGAGAGATTTTAATGCTTTCCTCTGGTGGATGGGGAGCCAGTGGAGCCGGGCGAGGGTGGGCATGATAGAGTCATGGAGCCTGGTGTGGGAGAGGACATGAGCTGCAGAGTTCTGAATGAACCTCAGCTTGTGGAGGGAAGAGTTGGGAAGGCCGGGAGTTGGCATAGTCAAGCCTAGATGTACGTACAAGGGTTTTGGCAGGCTGAGGGGTGAGGCAGAGGTGGAGCCGAGCACTATTGCAGAGGTGGGGGAAGGCAGAGCGGGTCATGGCATGGATGTGGGGTAGAAAGGATAGTTGAGGGTCAAACAAGACATCAAGGTTACAAACTGGCTCAGTGAAGTGGAGTGTGCCTTCCTCCTGACGTGAAAGGCGCTATACAAATGTAATCTTGTTGTTGTTGTTGTGCATCCTTGGATGGTGATGCTGTCAGAGTCTGAGGTGTGGAGACGCTGACAGGAGCTAATGAGGTGTGCCTTGATGGAGGCAAGGGAGCGAGCGAGGCGAAGGGACTGTGGGATGGAGTTCCAGAGGGTGGGGACAGAGAGGCTGAAGGCTCAACTGCTAATGGTGGAGCAGGCAGGGCGTGATGTGGAACAGGCCTGAGGTTGCTGAGCAGAGGGAGTGGACAGGTTGGTATGGAGTTAGCAGATCACAGAGGTAGGGACAAGTAAGGCTGTGGAGGGCTTTGAAAATGACTTCCACACTGTATGTGGACACCCAAATCTACTTCTCCTCCACCTGGGATCCCAGGTCCCCTGATGTTGTGTCAAGGCCTGGCTGAGCACCAACTCATGAAGTCCTGTAGCTTACTGGTTAGAGCACTTGCCTCGCAGGCGAGCAGACCTGGGTTCAATTTACGGGCAGAGCAAAACATTGGGCAAGTTTCCTTACTCCACACACTTCTGTTTATCTAGCAGTAAGTGGGAATCTGTTTTTTAGTTGATTGGTGGATCGCTTCCGGGGATGATAATCCCTTCAAAAAATAATAATAATCATAATAGTAATTGGGTCACTCAATCCATGACTGTTTGTGGAACACTGCTGTGAGCAATTGGCTGCCAAGTTTTGCCAACACAATATACAGTCCATTCATTTTACAGTATATTCTGTGAAGCGTTTTGAGATGTCTCAAAGATGTAATAATGTAATAAGTTGCCATATCAAATGCAAGAATTATTATTATAACTCCCTCACAGCTGGATATGTCCTAGAGGGAATCCCGACCTCAGTGAGAGATGACTGACCTTCACAGCAAACACCTCGGCGTTCACACGACAAGTCTTCTCGATCTCCAACTGCATCTCCAGCTCGCTCATCTCTTGGATAATCTGCCTGGAGACTGACCGAGAATCACAACAACTTTCATTTATATAGCATACCTCAAGCAGAGTAGCATCCCAGAGCGCTTGGCAGCCTGATGCCGAACCGGTGGGAGGTGACCATAAGCCAAAGAGCCAAAATTCAATCTTGATTTGGAAGCTGGGCTTGTTTTACAATTTGCGTGGAGGCCGGCTAAATGCAGTGATGCTGTGATAGAGACCCAGATACAGGTATCTGTTCATCTCTCACCAAACCTTACATAAGCTAAAGACCAAAGAGTAAGGTCTTTAGGCGCTACCGGAAGATGATGAAGGAAGGGGCAAGGCAGAGGGATAGAAGAAGAGTGTTCTAAAGTGTTAAGACATAGTAGCTGAGAGCCTGTCCACTGATGGTGGAATGGATGAGACGCAGGACAAGCAGGAGGCTGCAGGAAGTACTGGATTGGGGAGAAAGCAGGTCAGAGAGGTAGGGAGATGTCAGAGTATGAAGGGATTTGAAGACGAGTGTGAGGATCTTGAAATCAACCCATTTGGTGACAGGGAGCCAGTGGATTGTCATAGGCAGGACATCAGAAAGGATCTAGCTCTAAGGTGAGGTTTCTAACAATGGAATATCAGAATCTATCCCACCCTCTCTGACAATCTCCAGTCTGGTTCCTGAGCCAGTTGGGTCTGCAGTATTCCAGGATGCTGCACAGCCTGGCTCATCGGCAGGACTTGGAGGTGCAGACCAGTGATGACCAGACCAGACTCCCAGCTGACTACTAATAAATTGTTCATCCAGCCATCATGCCTATCAGAATAAGCTGGTATCAGCCCGGTTCAATCACTCACAATCTAATCTCAGTCAGGATGTTATGGCTTCAAGCCTTACATTGGGGAACTTAAGCTCACAGTCCAGGCTGATGCTCTAGTGCAGTGCTTGCAGTGCAGTGCATCTGACTGGACCACATCAAAACCTATCGCTCCACTCTCGCCTCAGCCAAATCGTCCTTCTATATCAGGTTAATCCTGGAGACGAAGGGCAACCCCAGGCTCCTGTTCTCCACCACCAACCAGCTCCTCCGCCCTCCCCACCACGCCTCGCAGATTCTTTCCTCCAACTCCCACTGCAAGGAAATGCTGGACTTCCTTGAGTCCAAAATCGAGGGAATACGCTCAGCTGCCACTGCCCTCCCAACTTCTACCCCCTTCCTACTCCCCACCCCACACTCCGACTATTACCCATCCCTCCTTCCACACCTTTGAACCTGTAACCCCCTCCTCTATCATCACCTCTATATCCTCCATGAAACCCACCACCTGCTCCCTGGACCCTATCCCCACCCCACTGCTTAAATCCCAGCTCCACCCCCTTGCTCCACTACTCTCCGACATCATCAACCTCTCCCTGTCATTTGGCACTGTTCCTACACCCTTCAAAACCACCACTGTCACCCCACTCCTTGAAGAAACCTTCCCTTGACCAACACAGCTATCTAGCTTCTGGCCCATCACTGCCTTACCCCTCAGGCTGCCGAAACCCTCACCCATTCATTTGTCACATCAAGGCTCGATTATGGAAATTCCCTCCTCATCAGCCTTCCCAACTCTTCCCTTCACAAGCTGCATATCATCCAAAACTCTGCAGCTCGTGTACTCTTGCGGACCAGGCTCCGTGACCCCATCACTCCCACCCTCGCCCGACTCCACCGGCTCCTCATCCCTCAGAGGATCGAATTCAAAATCCTCATCCTCACTTTCAAGGCCATCCATGGCCTTGCCCCCTCCTACCTCTCTGACCTGCTGACTCCCTACCAATCTGCCCACTCCCTCCGTTCAGCAGGCTCTGGCCTGCTCCATGTCTCCTGCCCGACCCACCCTATCATCGGTGGCCGAGCTTTCAGCCTCTCTGCCCCTACACTCTGGAACTCCATCCCACAGTCCCTTCACCTCACTTCCTCCCTCGCCTCCTTCAAGGCCGGTCTCAAGAGCATCCTCTTCGATCGTGCCTTCGGTCTCCCTCCTACTTCTCTGCCTTCCCTCTCCCTTACCCCACCCCTCCCCCATGCTTGGGTCCTGACCCCTGACTGTCCAGTGCCTTGGAACATCTTCCTGATGTGAAAGGCGCTCTATAAATGTAATTTTGTTGTTGTTATTGTTGTTAGAGGTGCCATCCTTTGAATGAGACGTTAAACAAGGTTCTGTCTATGCATGCTCAAGTGGATGTTTAAAACCCCATGGCGCTGTTTGAAAAGAGAAAGGAGTTTCTCTCTCCCGGTCCTGGTCAACAATCCCCTAGATAAAGTTAGCCATTCACTTTATAGCTGTTCGTGGCATGTTACTGTCTTTGCCCACAAAAGACACAGTCACAGTCATAGTAAAATCATGTGAAGCTCTTTCAGATGTCCTCCCGACGTGAAAGGTACTTTATCAAGTTCCGTAGGGTTGTGGTTAGCACGCTTTCCTCTGTTTAGCTAGCAGTAAGTAGGAACCTGACTGTTAGTCGATTAGCAGATTGCTTTCTGGGAGTAATAATCCCTCAAAATAAAAATTGGTCACTCAATCCATGACTATTTGTGGAACACTGCTGTGCACAATTGGCTGCTGCATTTAGCCCACAAAATGTACAGTCAATTCACTTTACAATATATTCTGTGACGCGCTTTGAGTCACCTCAATAATCAAGTGATAAGACGTTACATCAAATGCAAGGATTAATATTATTATTTAATATTCTTAATGTACAGAATATTATGATGCTGAACCAATGTTAAGTGCAGTTGCTGTGTGTTTGTAGGCAAACCCCACTACCTGTTAAACCCAGCAAACAAGTGGGCAGTGAAGGAGTAGTTATAGCTGGCGATCACAAAGTGACCTCTCACCTTTTTCCATGTCCTCCAGCTGTTTCTGTACCTCGTCCTTCTCCCTCTCATCCTGTAACATCAAGCCACACCTCCATCAGCACCAGCCAGGATTCCAGTACCTTGTGGTGATCTCCCGACATCGAAGGTGCTATACACGTGTAAATGTGTATTGAACATCAACCCACCTCCCATTCCCGAGCCATTCCATCCCTCCCCTCCACCTTCCCAGTCCTTACCCCTCCTCCCAAGGCCTCCCCCGCCCCCAGGGTAATGGGTTTTTGTGTGTGTCAGACACAAGGCTGATCACAGTGATGGGTTCCTGTTTCTGTCAAACACCTGACAATAAAAAAAAGTCCCTCGTGAGAAGCCCTCTCCCTCGGGGTGTGTCAGTACCTTCCCATTTTCATCGGGATCCGCTGAGTCATCGCTGCTCTCTGTAATCACTGCAGGGAAACAGATAATACAGTGAATTAGACTCAACTCCTGTTAACCCTGGAAGCCAAAGCCCTAACGGACAAGCAGTGGGAAAGCTTACGAGACAGTGTTCTCAATGGCAACCTTTGCGGTTTCAGTTGGTTAGACTCCAGTAGTTATATAATAATAATCCCTGCATTTGATATGCCGCCATATCATGTCTTCAAGACCTCTCAAAACGTTTCACAGAATAATAATAATAATAATAATCCTTGCATTTGATATAGCGCTTTTCACGTCGGGAGGACGTCCCAAAGCGCTTCACAGAACACACTGTAAAGTGAATTGACTGTATATTTGTGGGCGAACGCGGCAGCCAATTGCGCACAGCAATGTCCCACAAACAGTCGTAGATTGAAAATGACCAATTTATTATTGTTTTTGGTTTTGGAGGGATTATTATTAGGCTGTGTGTGGAGTAAGGAAACTTGCCCAAGGTTTCGCCCTGACATGCCTGGAAGTGAACTCAGGTCTCTCGCTTGCAAAGCGAGTGCTCTAACCACTGAGCTACAGGACTCCATTTACAGAATATTCTGTAAAGTGAAATGATTATCTTTTGTGTGCGAAACGTGGCAGCCAATGTGCACATCAGTGTTCCACAAACAGTCGTGGATTGAGGGATCAAATTATTTTTATTTATCTTGAAGGAATTATTACCCACGGAAAAACGATCCACCAATTGACTAACAACTGGGTTCCTATTTACTGCTAGGTAAACAGAGGCGTGTGGAGTAAGGAAACTTGCCCAACATTTTGCCCTGCCAAGAATCAAACCCAGGTCCTCTCGTTTGCAAGGTGAGTGCTCTAACCAACAACAGCAACAACAACAAGATTCCACGTCGGGAGGACGTCCCAAGGCGCTGTACAGTTGGGTCAGGACCGAACAGGGGGGAAGTGGTCAGGGTGAGGGGAGGGAAGGGAGGGAGCGAGGAGGGGGTAGAGAGTCGAGAGGGGAGCTGAAGGCACGGTCAAAGAGAAAGGTCTTGAGACCGGCCTTGAAGGAGGAAAGGGAGGAGGCGGCGAAGGCACTGGGGGATGGAGTTCCAGAGCCTCAGGGCTGAGAGGCTGAAGGCCCGGCCACCGATGGTAGGGCGGTTGGGGCGGGGGATGTGGAGCAGACCGGAGCCAGAGGAACGGAGAGTACAGGCAGGTAGGTAGGGGCTACAGGACTCCACAATGCCCATTCTCGGGTCCCCAAGCCTTGGCCCTTGCCAGTCTGTGCCTAATACTTTCAGGAATTATGTAAGCAGGATGCATCCCTCCAGGGAGAGAGTGCACATTTCATTCCAGCATCTATCTCTGGGATTTCCATGTGTAGGTGGGATAGAATCATAGAATCTTAAAGCGCAGAAGAAGACCACTTGGAGACGTGATAAGGCGAAATGCAAGGATTATTATTAGTCCCACTCTCCCGCTCCTAACCCATAGCCCTACAAATTTATCCTTTTCAAGTGTATTGATATAGCGCTTTTCACGTCTTCTAGACGTTTCAAAGAGCTTCACAGAATATGCTTTAAAGTGAATTGACCGTATATTTGTGGGTGAAATACGGCAGCCAATTGCACACAGCAGTGTCCCACAAACAGTCGTGGATTGAAAATGACCAATTTATTATTGCTTTTTTTGAGGGATTATTATTAGAAGTGCAGAGTAAGGAAACTGTATCTTCTGGTTACCAACGTACCCACCAGAAGAAACAGTTTCTCCTTTTCTACTCTATCAAATCTCCCCTCATCCTTCTTTGCTCTAAGGAGAAAAATTTCATCCTGTCTAGTCTCTCCACATAACTCTCAGTTTGGTTTGGAGACTCTTAAGCACGGTGATGGGTTTCCGTGTGTGTCAGACACAGACGGACAAAAAACAGACACAGTACCTGTGAGGAGATGGGATTTCTCTCTGTCCAGGCTGTGCTGGTCTCCGGGTCCCGGCATTGTAGGGGGAGACAGGTTTGGGGGGCTGTCCATCAAGCAGGTTCTGTCCCGGGCGTCTGCCAGTGAGGAGGCCAGGCCTGTTCGCTGGACTGGGCAGGAACTGAAAGTAGTGAGATGGGGTAGGGGAGGATGGGAATGGGTTGTTTGTGTGTAGATGGAGGACACATACTGCGATCTTTTGTTTTGGTTTGGATTCGGGGCCATTTCCTCTTTTCTACACTGAGAGAAACTGAATCTGGCTGTGAAGGGGAAGTCAGTACTATCACGGGAACAGCCTGGGACACATCCCCTTCCTCAACATCCACACTCCCAGGTCAGTGACAGATGGATTAGAGGCAGAATGAAGCCCATTAAATGCCCATGTTAGTTGCTGATAATCCCATAAACAAAATGGTCACTCAACCACTGTTTGTGGGACACTGCTGTATGCACTTGGCTGCCACATTGGCGCCCCCCCCCCAACCTCTCACACACAGAGCGCACTTCTCCCCCCACAGTGCAAGGGTTCCCCTCCCTCCCCACCCACACACTGCCGCATTTCTGCTTTTCTATTTTTTCTCCAATTTTCTCTGAAATATAGCCCAGCATCTATTTCTACCAGCAGCTTTGTTTGGGCTTTCACATCCTCATAATCCTTTGTGTTTGTGTGTGACAGTGTGCAAGTGTGTGTGTGAGACAGTGTGTGAGACAGGGTGTACGTGAGTGTATGTGAATGTGTGAGTGAGTGACAGTGTGTATATCAGTGTGCGTATAGGTGTGAGTGTGTTTGTGTGAGTGAATATCAGTGTAGGTGTGTCAGGGAATGTGTGTGAGTTGATGTGAGATGTGTGAGTGACTATGTCAGTGAGTGAGTGTCAGTGTGTGTGAGTATTAGTGAGAGTGTTTGTGAGTGTATGAAATCTAACTCTGTTATTTTGCTGATGGTGAGAAATGGCTGGACTCTGATCACTGACTGACCACCACATCTCACCCGGTGGAGAGAGTTTCTCACTATTTTGGGAGGGAACTACAGAGAAATCTAAAGCAAAAACAGCCCAATGTTGAAGACAGAAAAGTAGATGGGGATAAGGGGGGGGCTCCAGAATGATAATAATAATCCTTGCATCTGATTTGCTGCCCAGACACTCATCCGCACAAAACTCCATATCCCCATCACACCAGTCCTCCACCATCGGTAGCCATGCCATCAGCCACTACGCCAGAAACTCTGGAACTCTCTCCCTCAATCTCTCTGCCTTGCTCCCTCCCTCCCCACCTTGAAATCGCACCTAAAGACCTTCCTTTTTGATCGTGCTTACGGTTTCCTCCCTCTTCCCTCACCCCCTGGCTTGTTGTCAGACCCCTCCACTGTCAAGCGCTCCAGGATGCTACCCCATGTGAAATGGCGCAATATAAATGTAAGTTGTTGTTGCTCTTGTTGTTGATATAGCGCCTTATCATGTCATTGAGACGTCCCAAAGTACTTCACAGAATATATTGTAAAGTGCAGTGACTGTGTATTTTGCGTGTGAATACGGCAGCCAGTTGCAGATACCAGTGTCCCACAAACAGCCATGGTGCAGGTGACAAATTTTATTTGGGGGATTGTCAGCCATGACCCTGGGAGAAAGAAACTCCCTTCTCTTTTCCATAAGCGCTGCAGGAACATTAACATCCACCTGAACAGGCAGATGGGAGCTCGGCACCTCTGACAATGCAGCACTCTCCCAATACTACACTGGAATGTCACAGATCAGAGCTGATGGGTCCTCTACTTCTGAACCGATCAGATGAAAGCCGGAGTCAGTGCAGTGGTTGGTGGCAGTGCAGGGGGAGGGAGAGGTCGTGGCGGGAGAGGTTGTGGGTGGATGGGGGGAATTCTGTATGGATTAGTCTACAGAAGGTTGGAAGCTTTGGGAACCTTAGATCCAAGATTGCCTGGTTCTTTCCAGCCACAGTCTTTGCCTCTGATTCTCAGAAGTGGAACTGAGACTTCTCTGTGAGGAGATCTTGAGGTTTAGGCTGGGTCTGACTCTGATCTTATTCTTCCTGCTCAACTCTCCCCGTTCTCCCCAGATACAGGCTCGGCCCCAGCCTTAACCTCAAGGTTCCTCATGCAGAGTTCTCGCTTCTGATTCTGAAAATGAGTCCAAGACTGTACAGAGGAGCTCGGGGGAGGGGTTTGTGGGGAAAAAGAGCAGAAAAAGAGATACAGTCAACAATAACTTGCATTTATGTTATGCCCTTCATGCAGGTTGTGTCTCAGAGCACTTCACCTCCCGTTTACACAGGGACATACATTCTACACAGAGAAAATAATGATAATAATAACAATCCTTGCATCTGATAGAGCTCCTTATCACGGCATTGAGATGTCTCAAAGCACTTCACAAAATATACTGTAAAGGACTGTATATCTTGTGGGTGAAACGTGGCAATTGCGCACAGCAATGTCCCACAAACAGTAGTGGATTGAGTGACCAAATTATTATTTTTTTGATGGGATTATCAGAAAGCGTTCCACCAATCAACTAATAACCGGGTTCCTACTTACTGCTCGGTAAATGGAGGCGTGTGGAGTAAGGAAATTTGCCTAAGGTTTTGCCCTGCCCAGGAATTGAACCCAGGTTCTCTTGCTTGCAAGGTGAGCGTGCTAACACTAAGCTACAGGACTCCACTCCAGATAAGGTCCACGGAGAGAAATATAGTCTACACAGCGACAGATAGTCTACATTCTCAGGTGGGACAATATCTAACTTTGTTTGCTCTTAGAATGTCTATTTTTCAGGATTAATTCTTAATTCCCTTCTCTCCACTCTGCAAACATACTCTTTACTAATAATAACTCCAGCCCTAGGCTGGTAATTGAGAGCAGTCAGGACAGTCTGACTGTCTGACAGGGAAGATGGCCATCCAATGGCTGTTTATTAATATTATTAATAATAATTACCGTGCATTTCATACAGTGCTGTTCATTTTGCGAGGACATTTCAAAGCGCTTCAAAGTGTTTCCTGCACTTAGGCCTGGACAAGGGGGAGGCAAAGAGATACGCTCCACACAGATGGCCTGTGACCTGGGGAGACAGGAATTCTATCCCAGTGAAGCCACTCATCTTCTTGCCAGTTGCCAAGACCAAAGCCTGAAGCAAAGTCCATTTTAGAATAAAACATAAAACACTGCAGATGCTGGAAATCTGAAAACAAAAACAGAAGCTGCTGGGAACACTCAGCAGGTCAGACAGCATTTATGGAGAAAGGAAAGTGAGTCAATGTTTCGGGTCCATGGGTCGCTGACACGTCATGGACCCGAAACGTTGATTCACTTTCCTTTCTCCATAGATGCTGCCTAACCTGCTGAGTGTTCCCAGCCACTTCCCTTTAAGAATAGTTTGGTACCTTTGCGGCAATTCTGCCTTCTCACCACTTGGTGGAAGCAGCGCACTGTCCAGCCAGTGATAATATTAATAATCTTTACATTTGTCATAGAACAACAACAACAAAATTACATTTGTATAGCGCCTTTCACGTCGGGAGGACGTCCCAAGGCGCTGGACAGACAGTGTTTCGGATCCAAGCTGAGGGTCGGGGTGGGGGAGGGGTGAGGGCTGGGAGGAAAGCAGGGAGATCAAAAGCACAGTCGAAAAGGAGGGTCTTGAGGTGGGTCTTGAAGATGGGGAGAGAGAGGTCGAGATGGAGGGACTGCAGGATGGAGTTCCAGAGGGTGGGGCAGAGTTGCAGAAGACCCGCCCGCCTATAGTGGGGCAAGCAAGGCGGGGGACATGAAGCAGGCCGGAGCCCGCTGAGTAGAGGGAGCGAGCAGGACGGTAGGGGGTGAGGAGGTCGGAGAGGTTGGGGGGAGCAAGACCGTGGAGAGCTTTGAAGGTCAGGACCGGGATCTTGAATTGTATCCTCTGTGTGATGGGAAGCCAGTGGAGTCGGGCGAGGATGGGGGTGATAGGGTCACGGAGTTTGGTGCGGAAGAGGACACGGGTTGCAGAGTTCTGGATGACCTGCAGCCTATGAAGAGACGAGCTGGGGAGGCCGACAAGCAAGGAGTTTGCATAGTCAAGCCTCAATGTAATGGAAGTGTGTATAAGGGTCTCAGCGGCCTGCGATGTGAGACAGTGGCGGAGCCGGGCGATGTTGCGGAGGTGGGAAAAGGCAGAGCAGGTCATGGCACGGATGGGGGGGTAGAAAGGATAGTTGAAGGTCAAACGAGACGTCAAGGTTCCACCTGGCTTAGTCTGCATCATTGGTTGGTGATGCTGTCAGGTGTAGAGACTCAGGTGCTGACAGCATCACCATCCACGTGATGCTGCCAACAATGCTGCTATAGTGCCTTATCATGGCTTCAAGACGTCTCAAAGCGCTTCACAGGATATGCTGTAAAGTGAACTGACTGTAATTTGTGGGTGAAACGCCCAGAGTAAGACAGATGCTGACATCTATCAGCGGGAAGTGGTACTGCAAGTGATTCACTGACTGACACACACCCAGCGCCAGCACTAACCCTCTCCACTCATGTACAGCCTTGCTTTACCCTCGGTCCTCGCACAGTGTGTATTCAGCACTGAGAGTGCTGACTTCTGAGCCAGGTCAGTCATTCTGCCTCCGAGTTGCAAGATAAAAATAATACTAACCCTTTCATTTGATAAAGTGCCTTATCATGTCTTCGAGACGTCTCAAAAAGCTTCACAGGATATACTGTAAAGTAGATTGACCATATATTTTCTGGGCGAAATGCGGCAGCCAAACAGTCCCACAGAAGGTTTTGATAGGATAGACAACTATATAGTTTAAAGTTATAATAATAACTTTAAACTATATAGGATAGATAAACTCCTTGTGTTTCTACTTGTGGAAACACAAGGAGTTGTTGAGGCAAATAGCGTAGGTGTTCTAATGTATTCTAATGTATGTAACATACATGGATTGAATGACTAAATTATCATTTTTAAAATGGATTTTTTGTTTTAAGGGATTATTACCTTAATCCTGCAGAAAAGAGATCTGGCAATCATCAAACAATCAGGTTCCTACTTACTGTTAGGTAAACAGGGATGTGTGAATTAAGGAAACTTGCCTAACGTTTCGTTCCCGCCCAGGAGTCGAATCCTGGTCCTCTCGCTTGAGAGGTGAGTGCTCTTTCCACTAAACCACAGGACTC